CAGTAACGGTAATGGTAAGCTGTAGCCATTTGTTTATTTCAATGAAAAGCAGTGTATAGGCTGTAAACATGTGATTTATCAAACCTACAGTACAGCTCACATTTCAAATAATGTTAAGTCAAATGCTGAAGCTTTAAAAGGAACATTTTCAAACAAAGATTACAAATTCCTGCAGTGTAAAGTTTTGTAACTCTGGGGTATCATTCTGTAGGCCCAGCTGTTAGAATGTTAAATTACATACAGCTTAAAAACAAAATAAATACCTAAATCAACCAAATGATCAGGTACATATAACCTCCTATGCTAGCTGCACTCAACAGGCCAGTGTTAAACTTTTTTTTAAATTCATAACAGTTTACATACTTTTATGTTTGATATTTCGTTATTATTTGTTTGAAATTGCAGGTATTCGAAACACAAAAATAGGTAAAAGCCTATCTCTAGTAATTAAATAACCTAAAACTTCATTTTATGTGTGCTTTATGCATACTTTCAGCTGTGTATGCGAGATGTCATTGGAAAACTATGTATAATTATTTAAATAAGTATACAGAGCTTGGCATATGTATTAGTCCATATGTGGTGTGGGCGTGTGGGTTTTCGGGATGCAATGATGGACAGACAGTGTGAAAATGCTGACTTGGTCTTGCTGGGGTGAGCATGACAGGCGGATCCATACTCCCAGCATGCTCTCTTTTCCCTAGGGCCATCGACAGGGGGGAGGGGAGTGAAAGGTGGGGCAAGAAAAGACTGCAGAGATGCAGCATGTTACAGTATGTGGTGTATATCTGCCCTCAGAAAACACCTTGCTTATAACGTACCAGTGCCTATTAATAAGAACATTATGAATACTCCTTCACAGTCAGGTTGAAGCTCGTCAGTATTGTAATGCACCACTTCTGCTGTTATATGTAAAACAACCTACTATCTTTTCTTTCTCAAGATCTCTTCCAAGTATTCCCTCATTCTCTAGCACCTACAGAAGTCAGAAGATTCTCATAAGAGAATGTCTGGACGTGACACATTATAGGCTCAGTTTTCTTTATGCAATCGGTTTTGAATTATGGCTAATCATTTTAGGACGAACAGCAGAGAGGGAGAGCGAGTAATATGAGAAAATATTAAGCCCCACTTAAACTACTATTACCATTTTCCCGGCCTAAAACCAGGTTGTAATATACCATCTTGAAATAAATAAGGGAGTGACCAGCAAACAGAATTTCAAATATGGAATTCCAGTTATGGAATGTTTAAAAGTTCCACATTTGGAAAGTCCGTTTCACCAATATTTAAAACATATCATTATTGTTTTGACTAAGGTCTAATAGGCCTTTAGCTTGTCCACATTTACTCTCTGTCTGGACATACGGTATCAGTTTCACCTCTAACATAACATAAAGTAGGGGTCATTAGAGTGGCTGTAGTGTGGCTGCAGGTCTTCATTCCAGTCAAGCACGTGCACACATTCTCCTTGCTTAGATGGTCTCAGTCTTCAAACAATATGAAGTGTGCTGCTTGTTTGGAATGAAAATCTGTAGATAAGGACGGTGACCGCTGTCTTAAAAGGAAATTCTCCTTTTCTACATTTTTTTCAGAATTAAATCAACATGATGTAAATAGTCGTTCAGAGAGGTTTGATGTGAAATGCTTTATTATAAAGAAACTTTCAAAATTGTTCACAGTGGTAGAGAAAGGAACCAGATGTATGACGCATTTATTGCCTCTTAACAGCTACTTCACACAAAAACTGTTACCTAAAAATAGTTACAAATACATTGTATGGCGCTTGAGACATTATTTTACAAAAGGTTTGAGATCAGTCTAAAAATGTACTATTTAATATACATTCTTAGTGGAGTAGTACACACAGGGTGTTGTAAGGCAATATAGTACCCAAAGAAAACATATCTTTTCAGATTTACCACTATTTTACCATTATTAAAACTACATATGAAAGCTCAGAAGACTCATGTGGGTTCACTGGTCATAAATAAAATGGCTATATTTGAGTTCCTCGCCACCCTGTTTCCCATGATGGCCACTGTACAGAAATTGGAGTTGATAAGTTTCTCTACAAAAAACAATTTCACATCAAACCAATCTGAATGGCTTGGTTTAAATGATCTAGTTATTGGTGGAATTTCTGGAATTTCTTTTTAAACCTTCTAGATCAAGGGTATTGAATTCCTATCCTGGAGGGCAGGTCTCCAGCACAGTCTGGTGATTTTCCTGCTCAAGCACACCTGATTCCACTTCTCTGTTAATTGCCAGATTTTAGTGGATGTATTTGAGCAGGGAAAACACCACAGTGTGCGAGACAGTGGCTTTCCAGGACCAGAGCTGAACACTCCATCTCCATATCTGGGCCTACATTGATGATTCACTGAGAAGTCATGCTTTATTGCATCCTCAATCTATAAATTATTAGCCACTTTAAGCAGTGACATGCTCTTTGTTGGTCATTGCACTGTAAGTCCACACATGGCAGCTGATTTAGAATTCCAAATTAACACTCCACACACACACATGATTTTCCTGGCTCTGATTCCTTCAAAACAGATGGTGGGGAGTGCTTCAAACCTAACACACACACACGCGCGCGCCGCGCGCACACACACGAACTGCACTCTCCTTTATCATAGAGGTGACGGGCATGTTCAGTGCAGACTCTAGTTTAATCTCCTGCCTATCTGGACTGGGTCTGAGATCAATTGCTGGACATTTGACAGAAAAGAAACAGCTGGTCCTCAGTGAAACCCGCCTGGGCAGAGACAAGTGAAAAGACTATGGATGGCTTAATCTGCCATGTATTTCAATAATGCTGGATTAGAATTTCAGGCCGGAGGTGCATCATCAGTGATCTAGCAGAATGTTATCATGACTAAGCCAGGAAAGTACATAAACGTTAAAACACAAAGGATTATCAATAGCGTAATCCAATGCTAATAGATAAGGATCTGTATTATAGTGCAGACATCTTAAACCATAGTGTAGTGAGGGTCAATCTTTAGGTTCTGAGGATTTACAGTGTTCTGATATAATAGTTAAAAGGCACAGTAACTGAAAATATCCAACTGGCCCTTAGACAACAGTTGTTTTGGTGAGTAAAACAAGCATATGGGACGCTTAATCCAGTAATTCCCAAGCAGCCTTAAAACCCTCCAAACACAGGAATCCTGTGTCATCATCCCACTGCAGTAACGTAACTACTGAATGAGTGAATGAGTGACAGCAGAAGGACAGAGGGTGTGGCTCCCACAGGCACCACTGTTTTGTCCCTCATGACAGCATATTTAAGTTTTTTGCCAATGAGCTTCAAACAGACAGGAGGTGGGAGGTGGAAGTGAATAACATTACTGGTAAATATTTTTTTCCCCATCCACTGATACACAGTGATGCAATCAAAACTCAGAAGACATTCAGATGCAAGTACAAGTCATCACATTTTGATGGAAGATTACGGGGAAACAAGCAACAAGAAACAAGCTGACATTTAAATGATATGATGAATCACACTTATTATGACCAGTTACATGAACTGATGCTGTAAAATAGAAAAGGCCAATTTTGATTGCAGACAGACTTCAAAGAAATCATTTTAGCAAGCATTCTAACATGGCTAATTATGAATATAAGCTGGTGGCCAGTTAGCATGATTGTGCTATGGATTGTTAGCAACATTAACATTTTTCACTGAAATGCTCCTTTGATAACATTTTTCATACCTATAGAGCATCCTCTGACATGAATATTGATCCTCCGTCTAGTGTAACAGCATGAAGCTCAGAGTACAGTGTGCTGACCCTGCAGTTTCACATTTCAGAAGATATGTGGTCCTGTTTGTAGCTACATTCATGCTGACAGACGTTACAAGTTAAACACGTTGGGTATCATATGACTTGGATAAAGCTGCTAGTGTGATAGGAAGCACCATCCAAAGACTACCCAAGTTGTATGTATACATTGATCAATGATCCACTCAGTCCAGGCTCGCTGCTCAGCCTACGACTTTCAGCATGTGCTATTTTTAAACAACCTCTATCACTTTCTCCATTACCATCTCATTAATAATGCATCAATAATTCATTTGAAATATGCCTCATGTAACAACTACCAGCTACTGGACTAATGAATAGCATTGAGCCTAGTGGCCAAATGGAAGTAGCTGGAGTTCAGGCTGCATGAAAGTATCAGCCTAAGGGCTTTGAGGTAGAAAGTCATCCAGTTACTAAGACAATATGTTCTTAGACAGGAAGCGATGTGCTCCTAGAAAGTGGAATACGCTGACTGAGGACAGCACCCAGGAGATCAGTTCTTTTTAGGGAAAAACCAACGGTGATATCTGCATCATTTTCAGGGAGCCCTGAAGTTCATGCGAGTACAAAGGAGAATAATTTTATGCAGTCCTTTCTGTAGCTGACTTTGTGCTGCCGAAATGAGCAAATTAGTTCATAAGCACTCTTGAGGGATTAAAAAATGTACAAATTTTCCATAAATAGTCAACTAAAAAGCCATGATGGCAGAATTTACTTAGAAACTGATAGCAAAGGTAGTACTGCACGATAGCAAAACAATACTCTTGTACCCAATATTCACCGAACATAGTTTTTTTTTCAAAAGTATTACATTTTAATGAACATTTTATTTTTGGACTCTATCAATAAAATCATTGAGGGAGTTTAACAGTGCACTGTATTTGGAACAAATAGAATCTGGGTTATACTTCATGGTATACCTGATGGTTTCTAGCAGCACAAGGCCACATTACTCTGAACTCTTCACTTGTATGGATATGCAAATGGGGCAAGTCAAATTAGCTTGCACAATTTAATTCACATACAATGTCAATGTAGTATTAGCTCATCAAATAAACAGTCTGATGTACGGAAGCAAAAGTACTGAATTGTTTATCATGTTGTAGTACTGAAAAAGCATTGAACCATCAGTACATTATACAACACTATCCAGAACTCTGAGCGAATATCTAATTGTATTTTCAGGTTCTTGTTTTTGGGTTGCGGTTCTGGAAGGCCAGGTGGTGGGCATTGTAGCGGCACAGGGACGAGAAGAAGACAACACTGTGGAGCTGCGGCGCATGTCTGTGGACTCTCGTTTCCGTGGGAAAGGCATTGCAAAGGCACTGGGCCGGAGGGTGCTGGAGTTTGCCATGCTCAACAACTACTCAGCTGTGGTTCTGGGAACGACAGCAGTCAAGATGGCCGCCCACAAGCTGTACGAATCGCTGGGTTTCCAGAGGGTGGGCGAGAGCGAGGACTACACCCTGCCCGGAATGAGCCGCTCATTCTTCGAGAGGCTCTTCTTCCAGATCCGTTACAGCCGCTATCGGCTACAGCTCCACGAAGAGTGAGAGAATGTGAGAGTGAACGAAAGCATGAACAAAAGCGTGAATGTGAGAACGCATGTGAGAGTATAAACACCGACAACAACCCTCTAAATCACCTAAACCCAACCCACTCCTTCTAAACCAACTTATTTATTATTTTTTTAAGAGGTCATAAGTGTTCTTTCTACCACTACTCCTATTCATTCTTAAACTGCTTTTTTTAGTTGATGTTTTTGGAATTTAGCTAATGTTTCTTTATTATAGTCATTCTTTTTACCTTTATCGTTTTCCCACAAAAACATAGTGTCAATAATTGATCATCCCAGCTAGTTTAAATATATATATACTTAGAATCAAAATCTTTCTCTTGGTAAGAGAAACTCACCTTACTAAGCAAATGTCCACACACCAAACCAAGGCAATAGGTCGGTCTGTCAGACTCTCTTTTGCATCCATTGTAAGGGCTGATCTGATAGCTAGCATGGACTTTTCTCAAAGATAGGGGAATCAATGGAGGGCTGTAGAGAGGGAAGGTGGATGGGTACTGTTCAGTCTCAGTCCAGCCTTTCCAATGTCACACCACTCTTTTAGAAATACAAAAACACGTGCTAAACTTTGTAAATCTGAAAGGCTGGTGACTCTAGCGGTCAACCAAATGATATCTGACTGAAGCACAGCAAGTCTTTTATATGTCTTACAAACAAGAAGCGAAAAGAAACAGTAAAGTCACCACTAACAAAAGTAATTCAGAGATAAAGGCAATCCTGCAGAGATTTATGTAGATTAGCTCTGTATAAGTTAATTCTGATGATTTTACTGTGAAGAAGCAAAAAGAGTCCAGCACTATATATATATATATATATATATATATATATATATATAAATATAAAAGTAAGTAACTGTTTTTACTTCTTTTTTACTTACTAAATACCAGGCTCGCTCTTCACTTTTTTCTGAAGTCTGGATGAACAGATGTTATTGACTTATTACACATTGTGTAATGTCGTAATACTACTATATTGGACACGCCTAAATTGGAATTAATTGACCATAATTAAAGATGATGTTAATTTGCAGTCAGTGAAATTTGATTTGATTCAAATTCTTAAGAAACTTCAAGTCAATTTCATCACAATTTGATGATTTCCATTAAAACAAACCACGTACAGATCATTTAAGAAATGTTATTATATCAAGATGTCCTTAAATTTTTGTAGATTAATTTTACCATCGATATGAAAACAAATTATAAATTGTAATGCTACAGTTTTTATACACATTAAAACTGTAATACGCTTCTAATATTGCTATTTCAGGCAATGCCTAAAACAAAAATACTGAAATTCTAAAGCGATTGGAGTAAAAGCTCAAGATATTTGGATTTAACTTGGTTGGTACACTCTAAGCAATATTTTGGCCAACTATAAATAAAACAAATTTGGATTTGAGAATTGACTGCATTAAGATGCAATCTATGAACATTTATATTTTACATACATATTCAATATGTAAATGTGAAATATTTGAATATACAGACATACATACCCAAAATCTCTCACCTCCTTAACATTCTCCTATCACAGTACCAGCAATGGGAGAGATACAAACCACAGCAAGCCTCAATTGTGACATATTCCTGTATAGCGTTAAGAAACTAAATGTGATTAAAAATAAGTAGTGCAAAAAAAAAACAAAAAACAAAACAAAACAAAAAAAAACAAAACAAAAACCACATGACCCTTGCCAATTTTCCTCGACTTTGACACCATTCCCATCCATTAATCTGACTGCAACCCTGGGCAAGACCCCCCCCCCGACCCCTTAACCCCCACTCCCTCAAAGTCAACTCCATCTCTGCATGCGCCACCGAGCCTTGTTGCGCTGCTTTTCCCCCATTCGAGCTTGTACTATCCCTAAAACTCCCTCTGTGATGTCATGGTCGCAGTGCAGACAGTTTGGTAGCCAAGAAAGACTGAAGTTGACTGATATGGATTAATATAGGACAATAAGGGCTAGTTTTCTGGGCGTGGATTAAGTTTCATCTTGAACTAAATTGCAATGCCAGTGGTGTTTCACCATTACAAATCCTACTTAGTCCAGGTTTAGGCTTAATCTGGCTCTCGGAAACCAGTCAGTTTGGGAATTGAGAGAGAGACTTACCTACTGGCTCGTTGCTGCGCTGACATCACAGCTGCCAAAAGTAGAATGCAAAAGCAATGCAAGTGTGTGGCATGCCTCTGTACCTGGTTTGTGCGTACGGTGCCTGCCCTGGAAAAGTTAACTTTGTTTAAAAAAATATGTAGAACAAGCTTCTTTTTTAATTTTTAGCAAACATATAACAATGTGTGTCTTTGTTAAAAGAAACTACTGTTTTGCATGAAACATGACTTTGAATGAAAAATGTTTACGAAAAACATGGTCTATCAGAAATGAAGTCTTAACAGTGGAATTATTTTCTTTTCATGTTATTTGTTTAATGTTAAAAAATGTTGACGTTGTTTTCACCTTAATCTACTGAGGTGGTGAATATCCTGTTTGCTGTAAGAAGCCTGAGAAAAGTGTTCAACTGAATGCAGCATTATATTTTTATTAGCTTATAGGGCAGGTGATAAAATCTGCTCTGATTCAAGTGACTTTAAGAGCTTCTCATGGTAAAAGGTAGGATGACCCACCTTACTTGGTCTGTGAGTTTAAAAAAGGAAATGTAGTTCATTAAAACTTTCTGACTTGTTAGAATTGGACGTCTTACCAAACATCATGAACACCAAACTTAACTGTTGATGCCAAGAGAGACAACTTTCAAAAGAGAGTTGTCAGCGAAATTGGACTGGTGTGAGACGTCTGGATTTTTTTTGGAATGAATGCTGCTGCATTGATCTATAGCTGACCGGTTACTAACCCTTCTAAAGGAGCTACATGTAAAATTAAACAAATTATGCACACTTTGCTTAGAGTCTGTTATTCATTATACAGAGCCATGTTTGAGTCTTTTATTTTTTGGTCAGCACATTCATGGCTGTTGTAACCAAAAAAAAGCATACTGGTCATTTCACCCAATTTTGCATAAACCTCAGAAAAAAAAAATCAATTGAGAAATTATGTATCATTCAGTATTTGCCAAGGATTTAAAAGATTCTCTTTAAATGAAATGTGAACAAACCTTGCATGTAGCTCCTTTACCAGAACTTAAGAAGATGTCTGGTAACCTCTATGAATACCATTTGTATACAAATCTTTAAAAAGGCCTTACCTGTACCAGTATCCCATACAGTTCAAAACAAAAAAATCATATGCCTTCTACCAAAAGCACACCCTACAGTAACAGTATGATCCAGTGCATGTTTGTAGAGACTCAGCAAAAACCCAAACTGCACAAAATGTCAGTCTGTCTGTGAATTAACAGTGTTTTCTGTTCAATATATGTTAAGACGAACAGCCAGAATGTTGGCAGGTGTGGATTCCTGAATGTAAAAGGCTGTAATGTACGAGCTCCTGAATGGCTCCAGGCTGAACATAAAGCTAAATGCTCTTGAGCGTGTTTACTGTGAGTGCTGGTACTATTCTGTACTGAAACCGCCTTTACTGATAGTCTTGATTTATGCCAGCCATGTGATAACACATCAAAATTGCTTTAAAAGACTGTGGCTAACGTGGTGTGTAACTGGAGTTTGCATGAGCGAGGGAAGTTTTGCACATGCAAAAAGCTGAAGTAGTTCAATGTGAATTTGGATGACTATGTGAACAGGCTGCTAATACTGAAGGTTTACGATGACTGCTGTTATGGTGAAGTGTTGAGCATAGCGGTTGAGGGGCGGTTCATAGTTGTTGGATTTTGAAAAGAAAGGTGTGTGTGTGTGTGTGTGTGTATGTGTTAAGCTTTTCCAAGTGGAATTATTAGACTTTTACCATAATACAGTGAGAAAACAAAATCCTAACAAACTGAACAAAGGAAACGTTAATGAGCAGCTAAGGTTCCCCATATTTTCAGAATACACAACAGCATTCGAGTGTCTTGTATATAAATATCCAGTGTGTGAGGAGCTGGAAGTTACTAATGTGAGACATTCAAATGGACCTAAGTAACCTGCACGAGAAGATGGCTGCTACAGGAGTGTTCCACTTTTTCGAGGATGGGGGTGCACTGAGGATTCACAGGGGAAGAAAGCCTTGCTTCTTCAGTTTTACCTCCCTGAGGGGAGCTGGTACAAGCCAAGGCACAGAGGCATGGATCCCCAGCCGCCCCCATTTACTCGTCTGGTTAAAAACACTCTCTTGATCGTGGCTGCAGGTGCCAAGAATGCAGAAGCACTTGTAACGAATCATTGTATTATTTTATTTTTTATGTTTTTTTTTTTTTTGAGGTGATATTTAGAAAGTATGTACCATATGCAAATGTACGATACACCATATTATAATGTATTACTGAGAAACTTTTTTTTATTTTTGTTTTACAGAAGGTTGAATTTGCCAAAGGTTGTTTTTTTTGCTGCGTTTTATTGACGCTGTTTGTCTTTCAGTGTGTGCAAGTGTTATTACTAATTCTGTATTTAGAGGAATCATTTGGAGATCGAGCCCATGTGCCATCTAATCGAGCAATAAAAACAAACACATACAAAAAAGACAAACGTGAATATTAGGAAGCGCAAACTAAGGGAGTAAAAGGTAAAAATGCTGCATTCATGTTCTATCCCTCATGCTGTACTGGTGATGGTGACTGTGATGCTGTAATTGTTGGCAACATCACCACGGGCAGGTCAAGGCCTGTTGAGGTGTGACTGTAAACTGATTTTTTTTTGCTTATTTTTCTTTCTATTAAGTGACTAATGTATTTTACTAAACTTGAAAAATGAATGGTATGGTTTACAATGATATACTACTGCATGTAAGGCATTGTACAGTTTTGGCAGCCCATGGACAGGTGACCACTCAAGCTGACTGGAATGAGTGATGCTTCATGCCCTCTGAAAGCTGTTCCACGTTCTGACCTCTATTTGGTCAGTCGCAAAAGTCTCAACCAAGTCTATTTCTGCACTGAGTTCTAAAGACGATACAGACTAACAATACAGAAAATCAACAGTAGCAATGTAAGCAACACTGAAAATGCTGCACCAGGTTCACATTAACAATGTTTTTATGATTTTTCTTGAGAACAAAAAGAGGGTAAAAAAGAAGGAATTAACTTTTTTTAAGACCATTTTAATACCTGTAAAGTTGTAAAGTGTATTTTACTGTAAATAGCATCTGGGGGATATTTTATGATTGTTTTATAACAAATTCTATGGAAAACTTACTGCGAACTTATTTTAAGATGTTTACATAAAACATACTTAAAAAAACATTCAACTGCAAAACAGAGACACAATTCTAATCTACAGTATACAAACCACGCATTGGAGGCAGTCAGGGCAAGAACAGCTTTCGGAGCTAGTGACATCAGTACTGAACATAGCAGGGGGCTTTCAGGTTTGGAGCAAACTGTTACTGGTATAGCAAAAGATCAGTTCTGGTATATTGCCTGGTAGATCCCTGACAGTTTGCTAGATATTGGTTATCTCCACAATGTAATTCTGCTGTCTGCAGAAACATCTCACTCTTTCTCAACATGTGTGTTATGAATGGAGCTTGTAACAGTTTCCTGTACCTGTATGGTTAGCATGTATTGCTAGCAAGCCCCCCCCCACACAACTGTGCTGTTAACAGGAGGGTTTTCGGTCTTTTTGGTCCAGTTACTGGCCGCCTGTCACTATGGAAACAAGCCCACACAAAGCACAGCAGGGAAATGATATGCAACCACACAAGGGGCTGGGTGATCTGGAACATGGGGGCGGGGTGTGCATGTATGGGGGTGTTGAATATGCTAATAAGCAAGCCATGTTGGTAAACGGGGGAGGGTAGAATGCATGGCTTTAGAACATTGAGCCAGGCCTTGCTAAACCTCTGTGTGGCCGCAGTGATCACCTGGGTCTCTCGGGGCCTGTAGTTATAAAGATGCCTCAGTTCATTTAGATGTTTTTTCTTTCTGATGATTTTGTTTTCTTTTTTTTTGAACTGCTGTAACTAGTAATTTCTTTTTTCTCTTCTTTCTCTTGACCTGGTCTCTTTCTTTTGCTTAACAAATGGGAACAATGTAAAGATGTAAAGAAAAGAGTTCCTGCATTATGAAAGAAATGGATGTACATAATGTATTAAATAAAAGAACAATTCATAAAGCTTGTACAAGCCTCTCCAGATTTTTCCTTTCATTATCAACCTCTTTAACCACATAACCACATATATAGTCTGGATGGCTTTGAGATACACAGTATTGTGCAAAAGTTTCAGGCATCAGAAAATCAGAATCAAAATGGAATTTATCTGGTCAGTAAGTTTGTATAACCATTTCCAAAATTCTCCTCAAGGTAACCCAATATGAATTGTAGATATCATCCAATACCAGGTTTGGTTAACTGATGCTTCATTAAGATTAATCAGGTATGCTACTGGGGGGCATCGATGAGAAGTCGAGAACAAAGCTTTGTTCTTCTAATCAGCTCCCAAGATATTAAATACTTTTTGTGAAAACAAAAAATTCTTATTATTCTTTAATATAATTTACATTTATTTGTATTTAGTTTTTTTTCTTGCAAAACACACATACTACTGAGATAAATGGTTTTAAAGAATTTGCTTAGGTGCATAAGCCTCTATACATACTGTAGATATACACCAATCAGGCATAACATTATGACCATCTCCTTGTTTCTACACTCATTGTCCATTTTATCAGCTCCACTTACTATATAGGTGCACTTTGTAGTTCTACAATTACAGACTGTAGTCCATCTGTTTCTCTGCATACTTTGTTAGCCCCTTTTTACCCTGTTCTTCAGTGGTCATGGACCCCCATGGACCCTCACTGAGCAAGTACTATTTGGGTGGTGGATTATTCTCAGCACTGCAGTAACACTGATGTCTCACTGTCCCCTCTATTAGACATTCCTACCTTGTCGGTCCACCTTGTAGATGTAAAATCAGAGACGATAGCTCATCTGTTGCTGCACAGTTTGTGTTGGTCATCCTCTTGTCCTTCATCAGTGGTCACAGGACACTGTCCACAGAACGCTGCCCACAGGACGCTGTTGGCTGGATATTTTTGGTTGGTGGACTATTCTCAGTCCAGCAGTGACATTGAGGTGTTTAAAAACTCCAGCAGCACTGCTGTGTCTGATCCACTCAGATCAGCGCAACACACACTAACACACCGCCACATCAGTATTACTGCAGTGCTAAGAATGATCCACCACCCAAATAGTAATAGTAACCCAAAAGTTTATGAAATAAAAACGTAAGTTACGATCGGCTTATTTGTACTAATGAAGTTAAGTGACATATTAATGGGCATTATTAATATTACAATTTGGGTGTTGGACCTTTTAGAATAAGCTGCCCCAGAGCGACCATAAAATTTTAAAAGCAGGTAGCCATTACGAACTGCTACAGACTGTGAAAGGCACAGAGTTCAGTGGTAATGGGGCCGGTTACTGAGGGACACTTATCAGAGGGCTCATCTCAAAGTGTGTGTGTGTGTGTTGGTAGGGGGCCTACTAAGAGGGGCTTTGGGGACCTGACACCTTTGCCAGACGCTGGGAAACTGGGTCAGTGTGCTTGGCAATGAGACTGTTTTGTGAGTGTGTGTGTGTGTGTAAGGACAGTGTCTACATTCACAGAAGAACAGTGGGATAATGCTAATTCAGATAGCATTATCCAACTATAGAGAAAGCATAGAGAAATAGTGAGGTGGTAAGTCTAGGTTGCGGGTAATGAGATCCGACCCTCTTAAAAGCAAGTAGGCTAAAATTAGTAAAAAGTAAACATCTAAATAGTTTAGTTATTTAGTTTATTTATTTATTTGGTTAATATTTGTTATACACTGTTATAAAATATAACTTTAAATTTTGCATAAATACAAAAACATTTACATAAATTTATTTCAACAAAATCTAATTTAATTTTTAATAGATCTTCTCACACAACAATACTGTGAATTTCTGTACAGGCTTTCACTGTTAAGCAACTGTAACAAGGTTTGACTATAAATATTTATGGCTAATAAACTGACCAACTGAGGTTTAATCACAGCTGCTAAAGCTGTCAAAGCTGGAATGTAATTAATAAAGAAAAGTCGCATAAATAAGTTAAAATATTAATGAATATGTAACCTATTTAAAAACGAACAAATAAATCTGTGAAGAGGATTTCACTGGCAACTGAAAAGAGAGGAGCTACAGAAGAGGTTGGTGTAAACCAGAGAGCAGAGAACCAAAAATGCAAAAGTAGTTGCAAAAAGGGGCTTAAAAGAAAAAGAAGAAGAAGAACAAGAAGAACAAGAAAAGACAGGAACTGGTACGATCCAGTCTGCTCCTGCGGTTGCCCCCGGATACGGCTGGCGAGGAATGAGGACTGGGAGCTGCTGAAGTCTGGTTACCATGGCGATGGATTGCAGCTCAGAGAACGAAAAAAGAGAGATAGATGGACAGAAACAGAGAGCGGGAACAAGAGAGGCAAGAATAGAAAAAAAGAGCAAAGAGGACACAGAAATGAAAGACACAACAAGCAGAGAGTGATGTACAAGAAAGAAAGATAAACATACAGTGGAACAGACGGAAGCAGAATGAAGCGTTCAAGGAGAGGTGTGGGCAGCAGCATGGGGGAGGCTGAGTTCACACATGGAGCCCCACGATCGGCCTGTAGACACAGAAACCTTCAGAGGCACCTGCACACACAAGAGCATCATGTGTGCTTGAGAACACTGATAACCAATGTACATCCACTAAAGCCTGCATTCATATATCACCTTCCAGTGCAGACACACAGTTAACCCCTCTCATAACTGCATAACTTCCTGCATAACCAACCAATCAATGAACCTGCCCACCCACTCTCTCTTGCCTATGGTATCTAGTTATCCACCTATCTTTTTTCCAGTCAAAGTGACCACTAAGTTCAAGTTATTCATTTTTCAGGAGATCCTCTGTGAGAAGACAACGCTATGGGCAAAAAAAGATAGGGTCAAAAAGCTGTTACTGAGAAAAGGAAAGTTTTTCTTTGAAAAACTGAAAGCAAGTCTCCCAAAAAGAACTGAGTCTCCAATAAAGGCAATACTGAACAGAGTAATTACTGAAAAAACTGATATGTAGTTGTTAAGGCTTCTGTGTAATTTTCTGTGAAATATATGTGTTCTGTTTTTTCTGACACTGAAAAATGAACAACTTGCTCTTAATGGTTGTTTTGACTGGATTTAAAGTTGAAAATTTAAAGCTGGTCTTTGACTTTTGCACACTAATATAATATCTATTTTGTATTTATAATATCCATCCAACCATTCCGGGTTTCCAGTATTTGTTTGCAAATACAAATTCAGGGTACATATTTTGTTATAGTATATGTGTATTGCATTACATATATTATATATTATAGATCGATATGTTTCTTCATGCATATACTTGTGATGAAGTTTGGTCTCATTTGTCATATTATTAACTGCTGTAATTTTACCTAATTTTAACTTTTACAGTGCAGACGGAAACAAACTAGAGACAAGAGGGTATTTCAAGATATTTTATTCAGTTTTTGAGAAGGGACTCCAAAAATGATTAGATGATAAATAATATACTCTAATCATTTATTTATAATCTTTTCTTGCTAAGTTATCTGCCTGAGATGTGATCATCACATTTCAAATATGAGGTTTTCTAGATGTTACAAAGTTTATTCTCAAAAGTTATTTTAGAATCAGCTCTGCTCATCACTCTGGAAAATTTCTTAATTTTTCCGCAGCTGCCTATAATTTAGTTGATGTCTGTTAAGATTTTTTAGTGAAAACGGTGGTCTGAACCATTTAAATGGTGATTCCAAACAACACTAGTGTGTATTTAATTGACATTTTGTAAGGTATTAAATTACTAAGAAATCTTCAAACCGAGTTTATTATAGAATAATTTATAGTCGTTACTGATGTTTTAATATTAAGAACTGAATAACAAGCCTAGCCTTAATGATGTAATAAACACTGCCTTAATGCCTAATTAATAAAAACATTACTGGGGGCAATTATGCATATAGTAACCATGACTTTGATCAAAGCTATCACATCTTAAGCCTTCTGCAGAACTTAAAACCAAAGGCTAATAAAATGCTAAACTGTGGTCAAACATTACTGACAGAATAATCAAAATTTTTACCAAGTCTTCAGCAATATGACCACCTTCCACATTGTTTCAACAACTGTGTACTGAATATATTGCACAACTGGCCTGGCATTCAACTACTCAACCGTGTAAACATTTCTTGTATTCTATGTCGAACATTGGGGTTTTTAAATAGATTAAATATATTTCACATATTTTATGTTTTATATGTATTATTTGGAAATGCACCAAAAACACTAACAGAAAAAGCTAACGACCTGTGTTAGTTACTCACATTAAGGCTGACTCCAAGACAGTCAATGTGCTGAAGGGACTCCATTATTTTCTTCACCAACACTGTTTCCAACAGAAAAACAGACACACAATCCAGAGATCTTCTGTTGGCCTAGTCTGAATGATCAGGAAGGAGTGCATTTTGTGCTCACCTGCAAAGTCCTCGACCTGCGAGTCCTCCACCTCAAACAGCAGCTCATCATGGATCTGAGCCACCAGCCTGACCACATACAATCACACAGTGAAAGTGAACTGCTCAGTTCAGTTCAATTCGAGTTGCTCCATTGCACTCTTCACATAGGCTCAATAAAGAACAATCAAGGAGCTGCTCTACCTGGCATAAACTCTTATTTCATTCTTTTTTATGGCATTAATTTATTGATGCAATAACAGAGTACAGCAGAAGCACAGGGGTACTGCAAAATACGTTTACCTGACTGTTTAAGCATGTGGTCCTTGCTGGAATGTTAAATGTTCCATTTATGAGATGAGTGGATTGTTTTGTGGTTGATATTTGCAATAATTACTCCACAATCCTGTCAATGCCCCATTAAGAATCCCAGAAAGGTTTCAATTAACACTGCTGCTTAGTGCCCATTTAAAATGACTAAATGTACCTTAAATTAAGAACAAATAAGGAAAATAAAACATAAAAGGCAAAATATGTCAGCATGGCCATTCAAAGACATGGCTCCTAATGAAGTACTGAAGTATCTTAATGAAGTATTTAAAACATTAGCATGTGTTTTATTTTTAAATGGTTGAAACAGTGATTCCACAATCCCATCAATACCCAGTTAGGTACTTAAATGCTGAAAATGCTGCTTAGTTCACTTTTAACATCTCAGTTGAAGTAAAATAAAATAAAGGAAAAAAGATTAAAGACAATAAAAATGAATTAGACAATTGCTATCAACCTAAGATGGATTTCCAATAACTGGACTGTGACCACTGTACCACCTAGACTGCAATTATAAACACGATGTGACAAGAGGGTCTTTCAGTGCACTCCGTGTGCCTGGCTTTGGGAGCAGCTCTACGGGTCATGGGCAAAGTTTCAAACCCATCTAGTGCAGACACGGTGTCTGAGAGTGCTCAGGGAGGGATGGAAGAAATGACACTAAGAGAGATAAATGAATTTGATCTTGCAGGCTACACTGCTCTTAATTGAGTGGTTCACATTGAGAGGTGAAAGAGAAAGTGGAGAGATGGGTAGCGGGAGCACAGAGTGGATGGATGCTCTAACAACAGAAGAGAGGATGGAGAGATAGATAAAATGTAGAGTGGGATGTAAAAGGCAGGTAGTCATTTTATGCTCCTACACTGAGTTGAGGGAGTTAGAGTGAGCTAAATATAAGACATAAGTGCAGATTGATAGCATGATGAATAAATAGATAAATGGGACCGGCATGTATGAATGGAAAAGCAGATGGATAGATAGGAAGATGAGCGGAAGGAAAAACATGAAGGTGAGTGAACTGAGTGATGGATGGGATGAATGAACGGTTAGAGGGAGGACATACCTGGCAGTGAAAATGGTGGAAGAAGACACATGTGAACAGATCTGTATCATGGCCATTTTACAGAGGTCTGCAGCAGAACCTGAGTGGTCACGACAGCCATATGATCCTATTAAAGAACTTGCAGCCGAAACATGCAGGGGTGTAAAGTATTTCTACTTTATTACTACTAGTACTACTACCAGCAGTGGCAAACTGTCACTATTAGAACTAGGCCTTCCAGTTTGGGGCATAAATGTCAAAACAAAAAACGAGAGAAAAGCACCTCTATGATCATGCTACTTTCTGCTAGTGCCCTTATGGGATTCTGGTAGTATGTTGGTATTAGGCAAATTGCAATTCACATGAAAATGTGTTGCTCATTCTAGACTATGATACTTGTAAAAGACAGTACACGTTTTACGTGAAGTTTGTAACAGACATTAACATACATTTTACCTTGCAGCAGTTTTACAGTCCTGTTACAGAGCTGTCGCTGCTTTTTTCCATTTCATGCACTGGTCAGGTTACCACTTGTACTAGCTGTCAGTGACGTATCTATGACTTCCAAAAGGCCTAGAGTGATGATTTTTTCCATTCTCAATCAAAACATGATTGGTTATTTCCACTGTCAGCTTATAGTAATATTCATGGTTAATAATACATTATGTGGACAAAAAGTATTGGGACACCTACATATTACATCTACAGGATGTAGATGTAATGCAGCTAAAACAGCTTCCACTCTTCTTGCAAGACTTTCTATGAGATTTTGGGAATTTTCATTCATCCAGAAGAGCATTTGTGAGGTCAGACACTGATGTTAGACGAGAGGGCCTGGCTCGCGTATAGTTCACCCCAAAGGTGTTTGATGGGGTTGAGGTCAGGCCAGTCAAGCTCTTCCACACCAAACTCACTCAGCCATGCCTTTATGGACCTTGCTTTGTGCACTGGGTCATGCTGGAACAGAAAAGGGTCTTCCCCAAACTGTTCCCACAAAGTTAGAAGCCCACAATTGTCCAAAATGTCTTGGTATGCTGAAGCATTAATATTTTCCTTCACTGGAACTAAGGGGCTTTAGCCAACCCCTGAAAAACACACCTACAGCATCATCCGTCCTCTGCTTGGTCATGAAAACCCATGCCATGAAGCTCCTGGCACACAGTTTTTGTGCTGATGTTGATGCCATAGGAAGTTTGGAACTCTGCAGTTAGTGAATCAGCAGAACGTTGGCAACTTTTATGCACTAAGCACCTCAGCATTCTGCGACCCACTCTGTAACTTTAAGTGGTCTGACACTTCATGGCTGAGTTGCTGTGGTTCCAAAACAGTTGATCATTGAATATTTAGGAGAGAAGAAATTTCACAAACTGATCTGTTGCAACGGTGGCATCGTATTACAGTATCCTGCTCGAATCAAGTGAGCTCTTTGGAACAACCAATTCTTTCACAAATGTTTGTAAAGACTGCATGGCTGGGTGCTTGATTTTATACAGTGATGACAGGTGTTTTTCCAGAAGCTTTTAAAACTGCCTTGGTGAAGCCTCTGCTAAAAAAAAGAGTAGCATGGATCCTTCTATACTAAATAATTTTAAACCTACATTTTCTAAGTAAAGTCTTAGAAAAAGTTGTTTTCAAACAACTAAATGTGTATCTAATATCAAACAATTTCTATGAGAAGTTTCAGTCAGGTTTTCGTTCTAACCACAGTACTGAGACAGCATTGATTCGCGTTATGAATGACCTCAGGCTCAGCACTGATGCACAAATTCCTTCTGTTTTGGTTTTATTAGATCTTAGTGCAGCTTTTGATACTGCTGACCACAAGATTTTAATCCAGCGTCTTGAATGCTGGGTCAACCTCTCAGGCAGTTTTAGAATGGTTTAAATCATATTTAAGTAATAGGCAGTTCATGGTTTCACTTGGAAATCATTCATCAAAAAGATTTACCATTTCTTGTGGAGTCCCTCAAGGTTCAGTCTTAGGGCCTTTGCTTTTCTCTTTGTACATGCTACCTCTAGGTGATGTCATTAGGAAGCAAAGTATAAATTTTCATAGCTATGCTGATGACACCCAGCTATACATTTCTATTCCTTCTGAAGATGAAGACTCTGTAGACAGACTAACCAGCTATGTGTCAGATATTTCTTAGTGTGATGTCGCAAAATTGTCTACAATTAAATCATGAAAACACTGAAATATTGATCGTTGGTACAGAAACTCAGAGAAAAATTATTTATGAGAAACTTGGTTCTTTAGCTTTATGTACCAAACCTGAAGTACGAAACCTGGGTGTGATCTTAGACTCTGAGCTCTGTTTTATCCTGCATGTAAAAACAGTCACTAAAGTAGCTTTTTATCATTAGAGAAATGTCGCTAAAGTTCGGCCTTTTCTATCTCAGAGCGATGCAGAGAAACTTGTTCATGCATTTGTTACAAGCAGACTTGACTACTGTAATGCTTTTCTTACTGGACTTCTTAAGAAAACTATACATCCCTTACAACTCGTACAAAATGCAGCAGCACGCATCCTAACAAAAACAAAAAAAAGAGATCATATCACTCCTGTTTTAAAAGCACTGCACTGGCTACCTGTATCATTCAGTATATATTTTAAGGTTCTGCTACTAGTTTTTAAAGCTCAAAATGACCTCGCACCTGCTTACATCACAGAGTGTCTGTTTATGTTCCGGCATGTAATCTAAGATCTGCAGATATTGGCCTTCTACAAATACCCTCTGTAAAATACAGAAAACATGGAGAGGCCTCTTTCAGTTATTATGCTTCTAAACTGTGGAACTCAATTCGACCTTTTATTAGACAGTCAAGCTCAGTGTTCACTTTTAAGAAGCATCTAAAAACGTATCTCTTTAACTTAGCATTTAACTAAAACTCTACATCTCGTGGTATTTATCTTCCAATTTGATCTTTTTTTATTTTCTTCTGATTCTAAATAAATACTAATGATTTCTTGTGTAACTATGTTTTATCACCTGTCTGTAAAGCACTTTGAGCTGCCACCGGCATGAAAAGTGCTATATAAATAAAAAATATTATTATTATTATTATTATTATTATTATTATTATTATACACCCATAACAATGGGACTAAATAAAACACCTGAACTCAGTGATTAAGAGGTGTGTCCCAATACTTTTGTCCATATTGTGTATTAGGCCTTTAGTTTAGCTCCTGAAGACCTAACAAATGATAGAGCTCTCTTGGCTGTATCTACCTAGATACCACTGAGAAAGAAAAATCCAATGTGGAATTTTTTTCTTTTTGGTATTTTAAGAATTTAACTCATTTCCAACCAAAACATAACAATGCAAAAGAGTACTTTTATAATACATATTAAAAACAAGTTATATACAATAAGCATGATGACTACATTATGCAAAAAGGAACTAAACATTTTACATTTTCACAGAAATCATTAGGCCTTCAGAAAAGGCCTTCAGAAAAGGCCTAGAAAGTCCTGAGGGTACCCCACTTACTAATATTAATAATCTTTATTTATATAACACTACATAGAGAGGTGACAAGGTAAAGGACACATTGGTATAAAGGTGGAGTGTGATGCTTCCTGACAGGTGTACTGCAACATACAATTAAGGAATTAACTTTGAAAGAGGGTTCATTACTGGGTCATACTCAATACGAGAGATGCTTGTGCATTAGCGTAACAAGCAAGGAAACAGAGAAGAGCAACTGTTCTTCAGTCATCACTCTGTCCAATTACACAGAGAGGGACATTATAGCATGGTTGAAGTGCATAAACCCCTCATTGAAAATGCAAATGCACATTTAAGAGTTCAGTGGTGCAAAAAACATATGCACTAGTCTACAGAGATGTGGAAAAAACTGTGATTCTCCACAAGTGGGAGAGTGCATGTGTGGCGTATTCCATGAGAAAAATACAAGCCTGAATTGCTGTTTAAACTTTTGGATACAATTGTATATATGCATACGACTCCATGTATGTAAGGGGCAATTTTTGTTCTGACTGACGAATTCAGGGGCATTCTATGATATTCTTTCACATAAATTTATTGTCTTGATGATTCATATTGATTTACTGCATTAATTCATTTAAATTAATATAGAGTTTCATTACATTTATAAAGTAATTCATATTGATTTATTACATTTAAAAGTTTATTCATTTTGATTTATTACCCTTATGGAACTATTATTTCAGGAATTTTTAGCCCCCAAAATTCCACATTATATACTTGGGGACAAAGCAGCAAAAATGTTGAATATGGGGGCATATTTGCCCTTTAACCCTGGTTTACCCTGACACTGACACTGACACACACACACACACACACACACACACACACAATGAACCTACACAATCATACACTACCTTGCACTACAAAGTTGACAGCCTGTCTCTCCGCCTGGTTCCGGATGCCCCAGTCAACTGAGTGAACATGAGGGAGGAAACGGCGCCGACCCATTATGGACTTTACATAACCTAGAAGCAGACATAACACACACATACTCAGTCTCACTCACTCTTACATAATCTTTCTCTCACAGTCTGTCTCACCCAAACCCAATCACACCCTTACACACACGTCGGCCCTCCGAATTGCCCTTAGCATTGCATTCCTGGGTCGGGCTGGACAAAAGGGCTGGCTTTAGCACTAAAGCCCTGTTCCAAAAGCCTAGTGTCAGCTAGAGCTCCACACACGGACGAATCTAGTTCCCAGAAGCACGGAGACGCCAGCAGCTACACACCACAAACACTAATACACAAACACACACGTGATGTCACTTTGAGTAATGTGCCTGGACAATGTGCAGTGTGTGTGTAGTTGTGAGATACTGCAAAAACAGACAAATGAGTAACAATGATATGCATACAGGAATTTTTAGTATTCACAAGTTTTTGTGTGTTAACATTTGTGTGTGAAAGCTCCTAAAAATGTTCTACTGTGACGATACATGTGCATTATTTAAATACTGTGTGTATTTGGCAGCATTAATTTATGATGCATTACAGCCTTAATTTTTGATGCATTAAGTTTTAAACAGTAAATTTACACATAGTATATTATTTAAGGTTTTACTCCCTGTAATGTATAAATTACAAAACTCAACGCTACCTGGATTTTGTCTTTCTAGGTGAGCAAGCAAGTCAACATTTATAGTGTTTTTATTGTATTGAAATGCTATTTTTTATTCTGGTAGTTTTACATGATTTTTTGATATCAAGAAACCTGAGTCTTTCACATTGCTTGCTAGCAGCTCAACACAGGGTCACAACATTAAGCACAGAGAGCCACAGTGTCCTAGTTTGTGTGATAACAGTTACGGGGAAGAATATTCCATTGCTTATATTATTTAAAAAAAACATCAGTCAATATTTTCACTACATTAATGCTAATTTCTATAAGTGCCCTTATGGGATTTGCAGTGTTATATTAGCTCTGAGTTAATGGGGGTGTTACAGCAGCTGTACACAGACATTTGGAGCTTTTGACTTGTAACAGACATTCAGATATCCTTTTTTATTTGTTTTAAAGGCCAAATATCTTCATAAGTGGCTTGTATTTATTTGATTTCCTCCACTGCAATTATGCTCATTTCTGTCAGCGTTCATATGGTTTTCTCAGTATTATGTTAGTACCAAACTAATGCTGGTGTTATGGCAGCCGTACAGAGACATCTGGAGCTTCTAATTTCTTGTTACAGACATTTAATTAAGATTTTTTTAAACCTTGTTTAAAGGGGCAGGGCAAAAATGTTGGAAATTAGAGTATTTTGGTATACCCAGGACATCTTGCTATCATTATTCTAATTTAGGTCTCTACATTATGACGATACATGTGTTTATCCATCTAAGTGTAACAGAAGAGTGAAAAGGAAATCTATTCCACATATAAACAGTAATGTGTACCAACCCTTTCAAAATGTAAATGTTTAAATGGTGTGTTGCGCTTTGAGTTGAGTTGATAAGAAACTATGTAAGTGGTTTGAGTTAAATACATCTTGGAGGTGGGGGTATTTGTGGTTTAGCATTTTTGGGCTTATCACAATATGGTAAAATTCATATCATGGGACGTTAAACCAGAACTCACTTTTGTACAGGTACACTTCCTCCCCTATGAGTGAGTGAGCAGTTCAGCCAAAGGCCTTGCAGCTGTTCCGACTGACTATTAAGGGATTTCTCAGCAGCACTACACAACATTGCTTAACTACTGTGGTGCCATCATTTCAATATCAAAGTGTGTGTTTGTGTGTGAGGGGTATTTATGAGTTAGATGAAACAGAAGGGGGGCTGTGAGAGTACATGACTGTTTTTGTTACTATATGGAAACAAGCCTTGAAGAAGACTAATAAATCTGCTGTAAATGAGCTAGTGATGCTCGGAAACAGCATAATCAACTTCAGGAAGGTAGGAGATTCTGAATTTGAACTGTATTTAGCACATCTATAACTTTATGCAAATGTTTGATATATTTTCATTATGCAAGTGCTGGCATACAGATTAGAGCATTGGATTAATTGGATTAAATCTCTAATGTGGTTCAAGCCAGCTTCATAACTGTAATGTAATTGTCATTACCCACTGACGCTGAACGCATAATAATGTAATAATGAAGCAATGATTGGGGAACAAATATGCTTCCTCTTCTGTCAGCTCAGTTATTTCAATATATGGATACATCCAAACTTGTAGTATTTATTATATTAATCAGATATTTGAATACTATGCTACAAAGGTTTGGAATCAGTGGTCAAATTTTTGGAATCAACAATATAAAAAAAAAATCTGGTTTCAGATAAATGCACAAAATTATTCTTTTATGGTCGTATCAAACTGATAATATGTTGAATCATAAATGTCTAAAACACAAAGATGAATCATTAAATCCACCAAACAGCCAGGTATGCATCGCCTCTTATGCTAGCTACGCATCATAAAGGAATGATAAATCTTCAGTTTTTTTCATTTGTAACAACATAAAATATTTTGCTTTTGGGATGTTGAATTACTGTGTGTAACAATGTGAATTTGACTATATCAGAAATAGCTAAAATGCTTACTAGCAATACTCCTTCAGATCTATCTAGCTGCCTGAAGCAGTGTGGGCTATCTTAGAGGTTGAGCTCTTTGGACCTGGCAGGAGCTGATTAATGCGGAAGATTTCAACTCCATTTCTGAAGCTCCAGCAGCTGCAAACACCCAGACACCACGGCCCAATAAATCCCAGCACCTCTAATCACTGAGGCGACAAGCCGAATGAGGCATTACTGCTGGCGTTCAAGATCTGTCCCAGGAAAGCTTAGCTCAGAGCAGGTCTTTATTTCTTCCCTTCCCTCAGGAGCCTGGGGTGGAGCCCACTAAAACACACCGCAGGCAGCAGGCCAGCAGGGGTGAGTGGTTGCTGCAGGTGATACAATGCCAGTCAATAGCTGTAGTATTGATTGTGTGAGTCTCCCAACTCAGCACAATGCTGATTTCCAACAGGAAAGTCTGAATTCTGCTCCTGGGGTCAGAGTTACTAAATGATACATAACTAAGGCTGACCCTAACATGACTTAATATGTAAAACATACCCATGTCAAAAGTTTAAGGACATCTCGCCTTCTTTTATAATTTTCCAAGTAATTTGGATTTTTACAGTTACTTTTAAACTACGTAAGAAAAAATGCAAAGCTTTTCCTGACATGAAACAGCTATTTACTTTAGGCTTATTTTGCTTCAACACTCAGCTTTAAGTTGATTAAAGAGTCTTTTCCCATATGGAGAGCAGGTTTTGCCTCAATAATGACATTTTGACACTTTTCCAAGCTATTGTTAAAAGCTCACTTTAAAACTCTTTTGGCCCAAAGGGCTGTTTGAACACCTGAGGAAGTTTGAGTGTTCACATCACAACAAAAGGACAAAACCTGTGGGCTTTGGCTTTATTCCTAAGGTAGGATTTCGTCTGTTATTCCTTAAGTTTTGCAGAAAATGACAATAGCCAGGTTTCCATCCAGCTGTCTAATTAAATTCACACGAATAACTGAAACATCGAGGAAAAAAAAAAAAAACGTTCCCTAATTCACTGCCTACTACTATGTATCGCTGCTACAGCTGGGCTAAAACAGAAACATGCGAGCTGTCATATGACTTAATTCTATTTATATTTACATTACTCATTCACTTCCGTCATAATTTGTTGCATTTCATTTTTCCTGCAAAAAAAGTATCCACCTTTAGCAAGCGTACAATCTTTCATGCAGTTTGGCAATTTTATTTTATATGTTTCATTCTCGATGTATTATTGATGTGCAGGTTCAATTAACTGTTTTTTACGCAATATGCCAAAATGTGCATAAAAATACATACATCAAAACCTAGCTCATGTTTCTATTTAATACCTAAAAATATAAAAAAATGAGTTTAGCTGTCTTTCAAAAAAAGATATAAACAGCTTTCTCTTTGTTATTTAATCATGATTTTTTTTCTAATTTAAAAATCGAAACAGCGAGATCTAAACAGCTTCCTAAATAATGCTATTTCAAACCAAGAGTGCACAGCTCAGTGTGTGTCTGGATCACACTGTAAAGGGCAGGCTATGTGTGGTGTTTTTCAGTAAGCTCTGAGTGTGTTGTGTATTCTGAGTCTGGTCTGCAGTGCTACACTGCACACTTAGCTGCGCTGGCATTTTGGTGAATATATTGAGCGTCCTCTTTGGGAAGCTCCCGGAGGTATTGAAGATCGGCAGTTTGTCTTAATCCTGCAAGCTGAGCACAACAGTGTTTCCCCTCTCTCTGTGCACAGACAAACACAAACACCCAACCTACTGTGTCTACTGATCTGTAGCTTACACTATTGTTCGCTTTCAACAGCCAAGATTATATATGATGTCCAGAAGTTTGCTTCTTTTAGGCATACAGTTTGCAAAACTAATCATAATGCACTTGTCTTTAACAGCTCAACAGAGTTTATCTCAGATAGACTTTCTTATATGGTTTCTGACACTGTAAGACCTGCGACACATCGCTGACTTGAACACTAATGACCCAGACTTTGACTTTGACTTGAGCCTTGTGACTCCAAAACACTCAATACACAAAGAGGAAGAAATGTTGAGAGGAGTCTGGCTGTTGATGTGACTCTACATAGTCGGTTAATTTTCATGTAAATTGACCCTAACCGCAATGTTGTCAAATGTTTATACAATGGTTTTAATATCCTGTGAGTATTTTATTTCAAATAATAAGTGTGACGTGTGAAAACTGAAGTTTTGTTTCCACAAGCTGAAAACACAATCACAATTCAAAAGAGCATCAATAAGCCTCCATTTACTGATTTTTCTTGATGTGATATACCAAGCTAACTTATCAACTTCCTCATGGTGGAAACCGAGCACTCTATGTGAATAATCTGAAAGGAAAATATTTTTTCCTCTTTCAGTAAACTTTGTTCAGCACAGCTGTTTTGATTTCTGTCTAATTCAATTTAAATTGCATTCAATTCAGTGTTGTTAGTAGGTGTCACATGGCAACAACACCCAGTATTTTCGACATAGTGATTTCTTACAGTGTATTAAAATCCAGAGAACTGTTTGTTTTGCTTGCCAGCACTGGTTGGCAGCTGGATGGGGGTAACGCCAACAAGCTAAGCTGTTAGTTAGAATTATCCTTATCATCTGGCAACTGGAGAAATTCTGCAGGCAGATAGTCATTGGAAACTTTGGTGGTTAGAGTGGAGCCCAAAATCCCATTCTCCTAGTGCTCCTAAATATCACCAAAAACTGTCAACATCAACTACAAAGTTGTAATTTTTATTGTAAAGTTCAATTTTACTTAGAAAGTTCTTCTCCTGCGTAGTTGCACTACTATTTGTGCATACAATTACATCTGTCATGGTTATCCACATAACGTATTTAATCATTTTTTGGAAGGACAGTAAATAAATGATCAATATATCATTAAATAGGTTATAAATAACAGTTGCCATGATTTTGGTTGAAGAGAATTATATGCAATACATTTTTATGCAGAATGTATACTGACTTGTTTAGGACTCTGAACTTAACTTGAGACAAACATGTCTTGATTGGACATGAATCGAGACCTGCCTGTCTTGACTCTGGACTTGAATTGGGAATTGACTGACTTGACTCTGGAGTGTCGAGACTTAGCACAACTTAGTGTTTTTGCTCTTATGTAAAAAATGGACAAAAGCATGGAAACTGAGGCTTCAAGGTGGCTGCTACTATTTTTTTTTTTATCTGCGACATACTTTTGTCAACACTTTTTTACTTAAAGGCAATCTGAACTCAAACGAGACCATGTTAGCTTGTTAGTTCATATCCCTGGTCATATTAAGCACAAGTCATAATATCATTTAAAAGAGAAAATTCATGTTTTCCTGTAATCTTTGATCAAAGTGTCTTAAATGTCTGCTGATTTTTTGATCACGTCACTGTGCCCCAGTGGGCGGGGACAGTAATGTTAATAATATCATGTTTTACCTACCCCTTCCCCTCCCACCATCCCCACCTATCATAGACAGAAAGCATTCAGCTAGATCAGAGACCCTTTCTATTACCACGCTTCAGTCTGAAATACGTAACAGTACGGAGAGAAAATGTGTTATGATTTCTGACTTAAATTGATTTGAGAACTTGATGCAGTTTGAGGCAAGTGATGATTAATGCAATGTACATGATACTAACTGATGAAATGTCAGCTCCCCTCACTAGTTAGCTACATTGGTCTCATATCTCTAGTGAAAAACTAAACAAGTAAACTTCGGACATCAAACCGTATTTGTGGCAGTGCTGCACAGTGCGCTGGATGAAGGCCTGCACTTCTTTGTAGGTTTGGAGAAAACTGTCCTGGAAACAGCTGGCCTCCTCAGCACTCACACGCAAAATACCAGACAGACGCTCCTTACCTGCAGATACACACAGATGGAGGATTTTATGTAGTTACTCTTTTATAACTAAATGCAATTTTCATTGTAACACTGTATATTCATACTCATATTAATATAATATTAAGAGAAAGAAAGAGAGAGCGAGAGAGCAAGAGAGAGAGAATAAACACAGAATGGAAGAGGAGGGGGAAAAGGGAAAGAGTAAATGTTGATAGAATGAGAGTGAAGAGTGCAAAACAGAAATAGAGAAAGCAGAGGGTGAGAATTCTTCGTCTCTTCATGTTGCTATGGCTACAACCACTACTACAGCGAGTACGCTGACACATCACCCACTCTGAGCAGCAGTATTACAGAGCTATTATTACTGCTCCCACTGCCAGCGGTCCAGGGCTTCTAACAGCCGCGCTCTGCCCCTACACTGAGACCGATCAGAGGGCTTCCAGCAGGTGTGCAAATCTCTGACCTCATGATTCAAATTGATTATGATTCCTTAGGAGATGATTCAGTGCATCAAGAGGCCTGTAATTTCTTATGATTAAGAATTAATTGGGGAAAATACACAACTGTGACTGGATGAATTGTCTACACAGTACTAGAACACAGACAATTTGGAGTTTTTACGTTGATTTTTTACCACAACTTTGACCAATTTCTACCCATTAGTCAAGTCTCTCCCTATCACACGTGCTTCCTCCTTTGTGCCCTTTCAAAACTGTTGTTGACGCTAAATCACTGGACAGTTCAACATGCTTGGAGGAGAACATTAACTGCCACTGTTATGTCAGCTAGAGGACATCCGAAATGATTAGTATTGCACTGAGTGATGGGGGGAAGAGCAAGGCCAATAATGCTCTCTGATGATAATCAAGTATAATAGTGATAAGTATAAAATAATAATAATAATAAATATATATCATAATAATTATAATGTTCTAAAATCAATGCAGGCACCTTCAGAATATTTATTTTCACACCCCTTTTTCCAGTGTCAGCCAGTACTACAGCGCTTTGCACACAGGATTGGGTTTATAACCCCAAGTGTTCTAAAGCTCATTTTCTCCCTGACCTTTCGTCTAGTGCGCAGTTTTATCCAGAGAGATGAAAAGAGAGAGAAAACAGAGAGAGAGGGAGAGAAGGAAGATAAAAGAGGGAAAAAATGAAAAAAGGGAGAAAGGGGAAAAACATTAGAGGTGAAAGGTGCATACAGAGCAGGGCAGTGTGGAGCTGGAGGCAGTAAAGCTGCAGAGGGCTATAGGATGGAGAGTCATGGGTGAGTGAGTTAGTGGCTTATGTTGATTCAAGTCTATCTGTCCAACCACAACACTGGCAGCATTTTTTATATTTATTTATAATCAAACCACATACGTTAGAAGAAATAAATAGACCAAAAAGGATAAATACATACACCTTATGATACACTGTACAGACCTAAAGAAAAAGATGGTTCTTTAGTAAAGGCAATGGTTCTGTTTAGAACCATGAGTTCTGTATAGAACCATTTCATGCTTAAAGGGTTCTTTGTATGGAGAAATTGTTCTTCAAATAGATGGAGAATGTGTTGCATATAGTTCAACAGTTTTGAAAATGGTTCTATATAGTACCAAAAAAAATATGAATTTTCAACACTTCCAGTATTTGTGAATTACTACATCATCTCCTGGATATTTAATGTGTGAGACTGAAATCCACTTCTAGACCACAACTGATGCACTGAAAGCACTGATTTCTTAGATTTTTTAAAGATTTTTTTTTAATACCCTTTAGTTTTGCAGTTCACATTAGTTTTGATTTAGTCTTTGTGTTTTTAAACACTGGTTAACCAGTACATTTTTTCACTACTACATTTTGTTTTCATAACTGTTTTAATCAATGATAATATCCTGTGAAAAACAAAAGGAAAGAATTGTTAGGCTGCTGGTTCTTTTACAAAAAATAAAACACAGCAGAATTGAAAAATTACATTATTAAAAGAGGAGAGGAGATTAAAGGCAGAAGCAGATTTTTTTTTTTGACTTGGCATTAAAGATTACATATCATCTGAACCACGAGACACAACAATAAAACTATAAACTATTTCTTCCATCTCATGAAGTTGACCAGATCTACCATCAGTTACCACATGCATTCAACAGCAGCACAAAAGGGCAAAGACTGACCCATGTCATCCATGCTTCTCTGAAATATTTGATGAATATGAGCCTGTGTGTGTGTACCTAATAGCAAGACAGTGTTTGTCGGTGTGTGTGTGAGACAATGGCACTGTCACGCATTCTTCCTTTCAACTAATTACTCGTTGCTCTCCTCTAAATCACCCTCCTCTCTCAGAGACACTCAACACTTCCTTATTATCAGACCTATTTGTGTGTGTGTGTGTGCCCATCCCTCCCCAGGATATACGTGTATACATATATATGTGTGTGTTTGTGTTATAAAGCAGGCCTCCTTTTAGTATTCTGTTACCATGGTTATCTAAAGATCTCTGTACAACTGTGTATGCACTCTCCCTCTCTCTCTCTCTTCAATTTCATGATAATCATTTCTTTATCCCTCAATCCCCCAATCCTCTCTGTCCCCCCTTCCCTCCACTGTCTCTCTCTACCCAGCAGGTCATCCTGAATGTGGCATTACAGATGTGTTTCATTCTTTCATAACATGCTGAGAGCCTTTAGAAGAGTAACAGTTAAAAGAGCAATCAAAATACACTTGGGGTTAAAACCACTCTGCAAAAGCGTGTCAGCAAAAAGTTAACAGTATAAATAAGGGATGCAGTCATAATCAGCCAGAATTCAGTGATCAGAAATCTGTTAATTTATTATTTTTTATTTTGACCAATCTGTGTCGCAATTTTTAAATAATGGGAGGCAGGTTCCGTGTATTTGTGCTGTATTTGAATACTGTACACCTATACCAAAATGTCAATGCATGATTATACATGACTCATTGAGCTAAACAGCCAGTTAGTGTTTACTTTTGATGCAGCACATCATTTGATTCATGTTATCTAAAAATCCCAGGCTTATTACATTCCAAAGCTTATTATTCAGGAACTACATGGAATACAGTGCAAACTAGCCAAGCTGTTTTTAGGTTACAGAAGTGTGTAGTAAAACTTTGGGGATAGCCAGTGGATCCTGAGCAAATAATGTTACTTCTATTGTGACACTTGGCTAATAGACAGTACCAGAAATGTACTAGTGTTTCATTTGTTCGCTTAGCCCACTAGTATGAGCTCAGGCTACTAAAAATCCACCACTGGCCAATTTGACTGTAAAGAAATCGAAATCAGCCAAAGATTCATGATCAGTGCATCTTTAGTATGAAATCAAGGAAAACAGAAGCACCCAAACAGACCCAGATAAACAAAGCAGAACAGTCACAATACTTCATCTCTCCCTTCCTCTCCCTCTCTTACACACACATAGTTCTTGCTGGGTGATAGTCACTGAACCTACATGCTGTGCTGGTCTCCTTCATTAGCAACCACTCTGAAGAGTAAAGATCTCCCAGCTTAATAATGAACCAGGACTAATTTTGCTCACTTTCCAATTAAGCAAGCAATTGTTCAGTGTTCTTCAAGTACTGGACGCTCTGCTAAGACATTACTTAGTAACACCCTCTTTGGCAGATACCACAGCTTGAAAACACTTTTTTTAGCCAGCTAGGAGTGTTTCTATTCTAGCTTTAGGAATTTTCACCCACTCTTTCTTGCAAAAATCCTTTTAGTTCTGACATACTCTTGGGTCTACCCACAGATTTTCAATAATGTTCAAGTCAGGCGACTGTGAGGGCCATTCCGAAAGCTTCAGCATGTGTTTTTTTAAGTAGTTCATGGTGGATTTTGAGGTATGTTTTGGATCATTGTCCTGTTGTAGATGCCAGCCTTGTTTCATCTTCAGTTTCTTCACTGACTCCGCCATATCTGGTTCCAAACTTTACTGATATTTAGTGGAATCCATTCTTTCATCCACCTGTGCAGCATTTTCTGTGCCACTGGTTTCCACGCAACCCTAAAGCATAACAGATCCGCCCTCATTCTTAACAGTTTGCAAGGTGTCCTTTTCATCAAATGCTGCTTCTTTTTTCTCCAAACATACCTTTGGTGACTGTGGCCAAAGAGTTCCATTTTTACTTCATCAGTACAAGCACTTGTTTCCAAAATGCTTCTGGTGTGTCTGGATCTTTTGCATACTTCAGAGATTGACTTTTGTGATGAGATTTCCTTCTGATGACTCTTAACTGCAGATCATGTTTGTCATCTTCTCTCAATTTATCCGTATCTACATTTTGGAACCAAATCTGTACCATGTGACCATATGACAAGGAGTGCGGGTGTTGTATTTCTCACCTGCTCCATAGACTACAGAGTAGACGATGCGTTTGGCGTGGTCTCTGTCCTCTGAACTCACACTGTCCTCATTTATGCCCTTCCTAGAGCAAGAGAGAGAGACATACCCAGTTATATAAGAACGTCCTAGACAGCAGTGTTTGGCTGGAGAGCACAGTGTGTGTGTGTGTGTGTGTGTGGAGTGACAGTGAGCTAGACTTCAACTTAAAGATGCTGCTCTGGATCAGTGCACCACCAGCATAACACCAACAGGCCAGCATTCACACCGTATTAAAATCAGATTCAGCACAGGGGTGACCAACACATGCACAGAAAGCCCTTATTACAGACATACAGCAGTGCAGATAGCCTCACTGATGACTTAAAACAAGAAAAAACACACACACACACCATGTCAGAAGTCATGTCACACATCTTGTGGACAGGGCTGTCACTGGCAGTTACTGTAACTACGAGGACACCACAGAACACTCAGTATGTGAGCATCAACAAATCAGCTTCCATTTCTCTCTCTCCCTCCAGTCGTCTCATTTCATGTTCCCTCAGGATGACATAGGGTTTGGTGCTCTCTGACACTATGGCCTCTTCTCAGTTCATGTTCTACTTGCATAACTCTTTCACAGACAGTAGTGCACACACACAGAAACACACACACTCGCTACATGTAATACGTCCCTTTAACTTATTCTAATTTCCATCAAAACAGCTATTAGGTACAAGTTATTCATTTTTCAGAGTACATTAGATGTGTGATAATCTATTAGCAGGAAGAAGGGGAAAGTCAAAGGAAAATAAGTTGAAAAATGCTTAAAAGATATGTAACAGCCATGTAAGACCTGGTAGACCACCAAAACTGTCACTATCAAATAAACAGTACTTAAAGCTTTCATCTTTAAGAGAGAGAGGAGAAAGTCAAGCTCTCCTCTTGTGTCAGAGACTTCAAAAAGTGAAAGCAAGTCTCTGTAATAAATATAATAAGCTGTAATAAATGTAAAATTATATTTAGAAACCAAAATAAACAAACAAAAAAATGTATCTCCAAAATAGTAACTTTACAGAAAAGGCAACTTTCAATCTAAGTTAAAGATTTCATTCCAAGTCACTCTGAAGCATTTCTACTGGTTCACTCATTGTGAAATTCTTACACAATATAAAAGACACCTGCTATATTTAAATGATGATCAAATGGAGATAACTGCCTTGACTAGAAATTAAATAAATAAAGTGTGATCTCTGACTTTTGCACCACACTGTAACTAAGTACCAATATGTATGTAATAATAATAAGTCTCGTATTATATATAAATATATAATACGTATTATATATAAGCCAAATGAATAACCAAACTAATACCTAACAACAACCAAACTAATACTTAGCTATTCTTAACTTCAGTAATCAGAAAGAAATGGTTTTGCCGGATTTAGCTTTTGTAAAGAGAACTTTATTAAGTCTGTTTTGTTTGGAAAACCTAAAAAAACAAACAAACACACACCCACACAATACTTTCAGAAATGATATGTCAATACATCATGCAAATGCAAGTTCAAGGTTTGCAGGCAGAGCAGAAGCCCATCCCAACACAACCTCAGATTTACCACCACGTCACAGTTATAAAGGTACTGTCATTGCCACCTGTTGGCCAAAGTGGTTTATAAAGTGACTTCTCCAGCACCCAGCCTCAAAGAAAACAGCACAAGGGAAGGGCAGTAATGAAGACTAAACGTGCTAAAAATGAAAGTTGTGACTCGTTAACCTGGTCTCATTCAAATCCTCATACAGACCTCAGGCTGCCTCTGATGCATAATAATGTAAGTTACACGCATTTCTCTCCTTTACTATCACGCACTCACACTTGAAAAGACGTCCTGAAAGTGTTTAGTGCAGGACGGGCCTGTCAAAGCCATGAGCGTGACGAGGCAAAACAAAACACTTGTAAAGCCTCTGGAGGGTCACCATGGCAACAGCAGTGACAGCGTTTTTGAAGGGATGCTGAGATCTGGGCACACAGTGCTGCTCCACCCTCATTACAGAGCATGCCCAGAACACACTCACGGGTGGCTGAGTGTACGCCTGTGTGTGTGTGTGTGGACCTCTTTTGTGTCTGACTGAGTGGCTGTGTGTACAGGAGTGTCTGAGTTAATCTCTATGTTTGTGCGCAGGCATCTGGATTTGTATACCAGTTTATTATGTTTTATCTACACTGACTGACTGTTTTATCAGAAACACCTACCATATAGACACACTTTGAAGATTTACAGTTACTATTATCTGTTGCTGCATAATTTATCAGCCACTCTGCTTAAATGGGTCCACCGCTGACCAAGCAATACTTGGATGGTGGACAACTCTCAGCACAGCAGTGACATGGTTGACAGTGACATAACTCTTTACTCAGCTGTTTCACTGATACGTATAAAAACCCAAGCAATGCTAATGCACCTGATGCACTCGTGCCATACGAGTGTGCTGGAGCATAGTGGGGCTGATAAACAGTGCAGTAACACCTAGACTACAGTCAGAAATGTACAAAGTGTACCTATATGGAAGATGATAAAATGGTTTCTGACAAAACGGTCAGTTGGTGCAAAGTACCTAATAAAGTAGTAACTCGTTATATGTTTTAATTGTGCACATCTGTGCGTGTGAGCTTCTCCATTTGTATCTGAGCACTCCAATTTGAGTGTGCTGTTGGTGCCCACCACTGAGAGGCCAGCATGGTGAAGACGTCTGCTTCAGGATTCTGGAAGATTCTCAGGAGCTCGGGGTCAGACGACAGATGAGCCAACAGACGCAGCTCCACCTGACAGAAATCTACACACACACAGACACACAAATAGGTTTGTATACAATGTCAGGACAAGGGGGCCTAGAAGTCCTTCAGATGTATTATACACTAGAATTCAAAAAGTTTGGAATCACTTTTCAAAAATATAAAAACAACGTGTCACAGATACATGCAAAAAATGCCTCTATTACAATTGCTAATACTCCATGCTACAGGCTCCAATTCATTATTAGGAAGCTGTACACACTGATATGTTCAGAATGATAAACAAAGCTGTAGATAGTTCCATAATGACCGAGAAGACTGTACTGATGATCTTTTGGGAACATTAAGAATGAATCTAGGATAAAATTCATGCACAGAATTCCACATTTTTCAAAAGGTGGTGATCGATTCTTGAGGCAGATGTCTTGGTGAAAATATAATAAATACTTCCCCATAGAATATTATCTGTTATTTAATACTTCATCGGTGTTCTCTATATACTTGAGTAAACAACTAAAGCATATAATTTTTGTGCCTAATTTATAATTTTTAAATCTAACTATACTACAGAATCACAAAAATGATTAACATGAGGAGTGGATCCAAAGTTTTGAATTGCAGAGTATTTTAAAACCTACATGTTCTATGCCTAATCCTAAACTTGACCCCAGAAACCAAAAAGAAACATAATATAAAATATACAAATAAACAAAAAAAAACCAAACACTTTACAAAATCAGGTCCATTTTGTTGGTCCCAATCTTGTAGGTTAGCCCTGTTTAACTGTGGTTTTCTTACAAAACCAGGACATGATTGTCCTGAAAACATACAAAAACAAACCACACACACACACATAATTATCATTTTTACCAGACAATAGGCAGAAAGACAATTAGCACCTACAGTATCTGAACAGCTTTCAAAGAAAAGCAGAGAGAGAGAGAACATGAAGAAGGGTGAGCGAGAAGAAAAACAGCAAGAGGGGAAGAGGGAAAATTAGATTAGAGAGAGAATGAAGATGAGGAGAATGAGACAGTGTGTAGGTTAAATCAAAGTGTGTGTGTATTGGTGGTGTGTTGCCCTCCCTCTCTGTCAGCATGAACAGTAATCCCCCCAGCAGTCTCTCTGTCACATAAAAGAGAATGTGAGAGAGGATGAGCTCACACTGCAACACCAACTGAGTGTGTGTGTGTGTATGTGTGTGTGTGTGTATACTGCAGGAAACAGAGCGCTGACTCACTTTCCCTCACAAACATACATACACACACACAAACATCCTCTATCTTACTCCTAAAATACCCTTCTATTCTCAAGAGGAAGATTTTCCTGTATTGTATAATTTTTTAAGTGTCAGTGTTTGGAATGTATTTGCTTATCTGGAGTGAACTGTGAGTGGACAGAGAGAGAGAGAGAGAGAGAGAAAGAGAGAGAGAGAGAGAGAGAAAGAGAGAGAGAGAGAGAGAGAAAGAAAGTGAGGCAGAGCAAAAGAAATACATATATATAATATATATATATATATATATATATATATATATATATATATGAGAGAAAAAGAAAGAGAAACTGAAAAGAAAGAAATAAAGCGAAAAGGGGGAGAGGAAGAGCAGAGGGAAGAAAGAGAGAGGAGAAGAGCACTATAAGATGTAACTGGCTGTGATCAGGTGACTGTATCGATCAGTGATTCTGGTCATTATGAGAAAGTCAATGCAGACTTCTCTGGTAAAGTAAACAGCTGGAGACACCAACAGAAACAGCAGATACAGTCACACAGCAGGACACATACTAACAGGTCAACAAACAACATCCCTTAAAGCAAAACTCCAGCACCTTTCGATCAAGCTTTACCTGCCACCAGGCCTGGGCAATATCTACAAATAATCCGCATGATTATCGGTAATACCGCACAAACCCTGACGCGTTTTCATAATTTAGCAAAACACAGACACACTTAAGTTGTACAGAAAATACAAACTATACTCAGTAAATCACAGGCAGCAGAGACAGAATAGAGTTTACTCTGCCATAGCCTTATAAAGCCCTCTTTATAACTCAATGTTTTAGCAGCAAAAGCGAATAAAACATTATGTACATACTATTTAATATTATTTATCACCTTTTTTTCTGAGAACACCAGTCACAGACGGGGATCAGAAGAACTTTTTCTCCAAGTCAGAGCTAGTTGCTCTAGAGTAGTATCAGAGACGCTATAAAGGAGTTCCAAAAACATGACAACATATATTTTCAATTCCACTTAATCAAGATAAAATTAATGTATAATAAGATAAGTAGAAGGGGAAGCCTTGCAGTAAAGCTAGCACTGGAGAGCATAGCAGAGAGAACTAACAGGCAGCTTCTTAACAGACCTCTCACTCTTTCTGTCTTTTCTGTCAATTTCCCAATATATTTACATGCTGTTGAATGGTAAATTAGTCCTCTCTAATTCTCTCTCAGTTCTTTTCCTAAAACGGCGACTATCACCTTTTCCACATCCCCATCGGGTTACTTGTACATCATCGATGATATCCAATTACATTGCCATATCTCTCAGGCCGACCTGATACACTTGCATAGTATTCAGTAAATTCAATAATGGAGTATTACTTTAAACACTGAGGAGCAGATTCAGATTTCCCATCCTCACCCACATAGCTACATACCCTTGTTAGTTTCATAATAGTTACAGAATAATTATCCTTAAGACTAATAACTGAATAATAAGTCTAGAGTTTAAGGGGTTAATATCTGGCTGCATGGTGTAAATTGTACTACAGTCACATAAAAAAACTTGCAGTCAGTCACCACTATATCTACACGCACAGCAAAAGTGAGGTATGACGGCAGGCGGAGGGGTATAATGTGTCAGTCACAAAGTCTTTGTCACTCACTCTGTTGCCATGGCGGTTTGTGACAGTGGAATCAAATTTCATTCCATCATGCCAGCTCACATTCCGCTTCATTCACAAACAAAGTTTAATAAAGTGGACACATAAGATCACACACACCTAAACCATTCCCAAATCACGTATACCACAGATCTCTGAATCTCTATTCATTTCTGTTTTTTAAAACTGGATATTAAGTAACGGTTTTCATTAACAGCAGCAACCCTTGATGCACCGTGATGCATCAGGCTGGAGGTGATGATTCAAAAATGATTTTGGAACTCCATAATTCATCAAAATCAACTATATATAATTTATATAACTATAAACAATGTTCATTACATTTTTGTACTCATTTCTTGAACAAAATTAAAATTCTAGGGCTGTTTTCAAATACAAAACAAATAAACAAAAATAAACAAACAAAAACCCTTGGTTCTTTTTTTATTGTCTATATTTCATTACTATGTAAACAAATTTATGTAATTTAATGTGTTTTTAAAGACTATTTTGTGATATTTCATTAAATGAATCAAGTGCATCATAAATCATGATGCACTGAAGTGATTCCAGCAGAGTCACAATCAAACCGAATCATTGTGAGGTCAGACATTTACACTTTGAAACCATCATAATAAACAATCTGTGTCAGTTATTACAGCATATTACATCACTGTGGATCAAAATTTCCCCTAAACATGCATCATATTCATCCAACAGCAGCAGCAACAGTAACAATATTGTATGTTGTATGAAATGAATATGATAAGGTTTCTTTACAGACTATATCCAATCTCCCTACAAAAGCCACTGAATGCGAGGATTTTCTGGGGCATTCTTGATACAATAGACCCCTACACCTGGGGGCTTGTAAGAAGCTCCATTTAAGGGTGGTTTTATGCTTGGTTAAATTTAGATTCATATTGATTCATAATCAAAAGGGGCTCTAAAGATAGATGCATGTGCGTCAGTATTTTCTGAGGGAGGGTCAAGTGACCTCAGATATTACTGGGCTCGTTTTTCAACACTTTTCTCCCTCTCTCTTATGCACACGCACATGCAACACACCACACACACTTTCTATCTTAGATTGTTTGTAAACATACAGTGGTGCTAGAACGTTTATGAACCCTTCTGAATTCACTACATTTCTACATTTTCTCATTAAATTTGACATAAAATGTCACTAGACTGTCATCTTAGCCATAAAAATAAAGACAACCCAACAAAGCAAATAACACAAACAGTAAGAGTTTTTTCTTCATTTACTGAACAAAGTGATTCAACATTAAATGTCTTTGTTTGTAAAAGTATGTGAACCTCTAGGATTATCAGTTTAGCAGCACAGGGGATGATTAGGATCAGGAGGTGCAGTCATTCGGATGACAAAGTGTGGTTAAACCCTCCCTATCTAAAAAACATCACCCTGAGTCCTCACCACACACATTTGTGAGAGCACGCCATGCCTCGGTCAAAAGAGATTTCTAAGTATATCAGAAAAACAGCTGAGCCGATGCTCAGTAGGCCTGAAGAGGTTATAAAACACTAAGAGTAAGGCGTCTAATATTCTGGGACAGCACAAAGAACCCCAGGTAACATCTTAAGATCTGGAGTGTGGTCCTGTGCTGGCTAATGTCAGTGTTCATAAAAGTCTACCATCAGGCAAGCACTGAACACGAATAGAACGTTAGCAGAGAGGAAGCCACTACCTTCCCCGAGGATCACTGACACCTGTTTAAAGTTTCCAAAAGACCACCCGCATGTGCCACAAGACAAATCTTTGCATTTTTTAAGCGTCAAGTCAATCCAGATCTTAATCCAACAAAACCGTTGTGGAGGAACCTGCTGCATGGAGTTCAAACAAGGAAGCCCATCAGTGTCACTGAGTTAAACCAGCTCTGTAGTGAGGAATGAATTAAAATTTCTCCAAGTCAATATGTAGAACTGATCAACATTTACAGTAAATGTTTAGTTAAAGTCACCGGCACTCAAGGGGGTCATAGCAGTTATATTTTTGCCAACATAGACATTAAATGTTGAATCCCTTTGTTTAATAAATGAATGAAAAACATAACTGTTTGTGTTATTTGTCTTGCAGGGTTGTCTTTATCACATTCAGGTCAAATGTGAAAAGATTTAAGATGAAATTCAGAAAATTCTAAATGTTTTAAAGTCTTTCTAGCACCACAGCATGCTGCCAGTCAAATATTTGGAGACACCTGATTAAATGTGTGTTTTTCAAAATTTTAAAGACGTTTTAATCTGAATTGTTACTTTAGAAAAAGACTAAAAAATATTTAAAAACAAATAAGTAATAAAGTTGGTGCCTAGGTATGAATTTATTTCTAAATACAAAGCTTTTTGAGAGAATGCTAAGTGTGTCCAAAGCAGCATCAAAGCAAAGGAGGGAGGCGGTATGTTGAAGAAACTATAACACGAGTTTTTTTTCTTCGTTAGCTGGTGAATGCAGTAGTAACTGTCTCATTAGCTGGTAAATGCAGTAGTAATTGTCTCATTAGCTGGTGAATACTGTAGTAACTGTCTTCAAATAATTATTACAATTACTCAAATGACAGAAATGACTTGAGAAGGACAAGCTAAAAGCTGAAGTTATTAATGTAGGTGGCTATTGAAGTACTTTACCTCAGTAAAAAAAACCTCAAAGACTACTTTGAGGTACTTCAGTGAGGTACTTTACTGAACATGGAGCATGGATGGACAGCTTCTTTTCTTTGGCAGAATGTCTGTGACATCCATTTTTGTTGCACTAATGCTAGCTTGGTTGCATTTTTTAGCTTTGATTAGTGGCAAGGCTAGCAGTCAAGGCTGGTCGACACCATAGGGATTTCCAACGATTGTATGATGTATTTGCATAATGCGTGTTGTGTATTGTAGTGAGAAAATATTGATAAACTCAAACATGAATACACTATAAAATTCTGTTAAACCACTGAGGCTGAGGGATATAATACTGCTTTACAGAATACTGTGTAACACGACAAATTACTCAGGGTTTAAATTGCCATACCATTCAGTCTGTCTGCCTGCCTGTTTGTACCAATGTGAACACATACTAAGGAAATCATCATCGTTGGGTCAGTAATGTAATAGCTGAACCCTCTAAGTGCACATTTGAGAGTGAGAGGGCCTCTGGTATGACCTAGACTGTCTCTGAATGGTATTAACTTTCAGTAAGAATAGCCTGATTCTGTGTCAGTTCTGTGCATCTAACTCACACTGACCAGGGCACGATAATCCCGGCCCTCACTGATATAGAACAGCACTCGGGGCGGCTTGCTCTTCTGGGGCTTTATGCAGTGCTTCCAGGAAAAATGCCGTTATTGACAGAGTATTGAGAGGCTTTTCAGAAAGACACTGCATGGAATCATGGGATTTGCAGTTTTATTTACAGGGCTCAGCAGCAGCACCATTAGCAGGCCTGGAGACGATCATGTTGACAGGAGAAGATAAAGCAAAAGATTGTGGGGTAATTTGAGGACTTTCAGAATAGAGTAGAAGAAAAGAAAAGAGAGAGGTGGAGAGGAGGTTAGTCCGTGACACAGAGGCCACCGGCCATCCAGGGAACGAGGGAAAGCTCTGTCCTTGTTATAGGCTGTCTGTCTCTCTTTCTGTTCTCCTTCTGGTGACAGCAGGACATATCACCCAATTCGATGAGACAAGGCTACTTAAGGACAGGAACTTTTACTATCTCTCTCACACAGTAAATACAGCCAGAACAAACACAGACCCATTAGAGTGGACACACTCTATAAGGGTGTCCTTGAGGCCACTTAATAAGAACAACAGAGGCCACAGCCATTTAAGTGACCTTCCTGACTCTCTTCTCTCATTCTCTCTGCATCTAAGGCTCATTTTCTCACTCTCTATCCTCCTCTTTCCCACTCTTTTCTCTCTGAGATAGTTTTGGGGAGCATGTAACTGACAATTACTTTCTACTTGATTTATTTGTCAACTATTATTACTTTCTGCTGTTTCCTCACACTTTGCCTTCGTCACAACACTGCCATCATTCAAAGTTCCCTCTGTGTGACAATTTCTTTTTTGTTGTGCAATGAAACAACAAAAGCCTTAGCGCCCCTGTACTGCAGTCTGTGAGGATGACCAATGAAAAAACTTTTTACTGATAAACTTTAAAAAGGCTGTCAATTTATTTTGTTAATTTATTTGCGCTTTTAGAAATACGCTCTAGCATGAATGAACTACTGACTGCCAAATAAGAACAATATTGTCATTTCCATTGAAAGATTTTTGCAAATTTGGGCATCCGCTGTTGGATTTGTGCTGAGTGGGACTGTACTGAAAGAAAGGTGTTTGGCCAATTTCCTGCTTGTGCTGGCCACCAAAATTAACCACCATGGATCCTGTAATCATTCCTGGTTGAACAGAAGTCTACTGTTGTAATCTCTTACACACACTCAAAGTCCGACCTCTACCAGAAAATAAAGGTTTCAGTAAAATGGAAAAAATAATGCTGTCCTGAGGTTTTTTATGTTGTTTTTGGCTACACCACTGTCAAACGCTGTGCAGTCAGAAATGGTCCTAATCAGTCAGAAAAGCTGAACTTTTCACTCTAAAATATTGTTTAGGACTTTTCAAGTCTGACTATTTAATGATCATCAAGTTACAAATCTTTAGGACAACTGAAATTCCACTTAGAGCCCAGTCCCTTGATGGATTCAATAACCAGTAACATCAGTGGATATAATTAAATATGCCATAACATACTTTACTGACTGATATGATTGTCGGTGGTAAATTGTGAAAATATGAGTCAATTCTCAAATCTCTCAAGTTTTAACTAATAAATACAGATTTGTTTATATTTTGTTTTTGCATAAACAATGCATTGCCTTTCTTCCATAATTAACTTTATCAACTAATTGTTGAAGCCTGTTCTGTTTCTATGGACTGACCAGTTCACAAAAAACCCAGACATGCCTCAGTCTAACTGCCTTGCTTATACAGAAACACCCTCAGACCACTTTCACTTACACATGCACACACATTCCAAGCAGCACTAGACTACATGCGGGAAGAACAAGCAGGGACAAGTGTATTGCTGCACAGTGCGCTCTCTCTCTCTCTCTCTCACATCTCAGATGCACTCTTGTGGTCAGGGACAGTGAGGAGACTGCTTCTGGTCTTGAATGTTCTACAGCCACCCTACATGAAGACCTACATGCTTCAGTCCTCACACTCTTTTACACATATTCTCACAAGTTCTGTAAAGGAGTGCCTTAACTAGTGGTAGAAAAAAAGCCCAGACAATAGCAGTAGCATTAGTTAACCAAAGACGCAGCCAACATTAACTAATGGTCTCTTCCTGAGGGTCTCACCTGCAGAGAGGAAAGTCCAGCCTTCTTGGGGTATGAACATGGAGCGCGGATGAACAGTCACAAGCTCTGCCTCCTTTCCTGTAATCACAGCCAATCACAGAGTAACCAGTTAAACCGATTATCACTTTGTTATTAATCTTAAGACGTACAAGTTAGATTCTACTATAAATTCAGTAACTACTATGAAGCTTCTCTGCATGTTATAGAGTTATGAGAGTAAGGAATCGGGATTACAAGCAGTCCCATGGGTTTAAAGACATGGCTTGGTGAAAAATCAAATTTACACAATTTTGCACTTATCCCAGGTGCAGTTGATCAATCAAGACATGGTTAGTGTCCAAATGTTGCTTCTTTAGTTTTGCACTAGATAACAAACATCAGAAGTCAACAGTCACCCAAAGGTTTCCGTAAATACATCCCCAGAACTTCACTGAACCCGCTTAAACTGCAGGTCTTCATTAACATCGTAGAGAGTTGTCCATATGATTTAGGACAGTATGACCTACTGTAAACTATAAACAAAAATGCACCAGTTAGCATTTTATAGTTGACAGTAAACCCTACTGTGCCCTATCAACAAGTCTGGGCAACCTTAAAAACATGGTGGAATGAGCAGGAAATTTTTTGGGCATATTTTTACGTAAGCTATTAGGTGTCTTTTGACTAGTGTTTGTTAGCAACGTTAGCCATGTAACTCCAGTGCAAAACAAAACAGGCAAAATTTGCACAACAAACCAGTTTTGGCTGTGAGATATCAGGGGTAAATGGAAAAATGTTCTTTTTTTACCAAATTATTTCCTTAAATGTTTATACAAATACAATCAAACGGCAAAACAGCTTAGAAAACTAGTCACAGCATTAAAACAACTACAAGAAATATTTTAATGAGAATAAAGTGGGTCAGAACCAGGGCTCCAGAAAAGTTTGAGGAATAAGAAACAAAACTAAACTAAACAATGTTTTGTTAGGAACAACGATTCCAACCAAAAATGTAATGCTTCCTAACAGAAATGTTAATTTGAAATCTCTGTTACTGGTTAATTTTCTCATCTTGTACAGCCCACTAGCTTCATATTTATATCTTCCCTCTATTTACTAATTCATAAACAGTAAAATTCCATAGCCTGTATGTGTAGACAGGCTAATATATACAAAATACAACCACTGGGTCTAATAACTTTACAAACTGACTATTCTATGTTGGAGCGCAAGAACAGAAATGTTAAAATATTGGTTCCCCTTGAAACAAACCAATAGATTTCTTAGTCTGTTTCGAAGACCTCAACAGAACAGAACAACCTCACTGAGGGAGATGGAGGTAAGGGAAGGGACGGCATGAGGAGATTGATGGGTGTGCATAGGGACGAAAACTAACACACTGTTCCAACACATCAATGCCTCTGAGCCCGTGATATAGAGCTGTTGTAAAATGCAGGGCAAAACGAAGGGCAAAGAGAGGCATAAAGTGGAGAGGAATGGAAGAGAGAGGGACAAAACAACAGAGAAGAGAGAAAGGCTCACCAAGAGTAAGAAAAGATAAGACCGGGGTCATTGTAGAGGATGGAAAAGAGGCAGAGAGAAATAGAGACAGAGGGACCGGAACTGACCGAGTGGAAATTTTGGGGCATACAGAAACTCAGATGCCAGCATTGAGCACAGGCTCTGATCTATGTGTTATGTGAAAATCTTTTTGCTGCACTCTTGCTTATTTTGTTAGATTACTGTAATTGTACTGGGGTGTAGAGTCTGTACAAAATTGATATGTACCCATGGAAAAATGTAATACAATAAAAACATCACATTCTGATTTTTTTGGAATGTTGCAATATAATTGTTAAACAATTTCTACTTGTATTTCCTTCTAGCCCTGCCATAGTTCAGTACTATCTTAACAAGAAAAACTCAGGGCCAAATGTGCATACATGAACAGGTGCAGTGGAAAATGTGCTTTGACCACATCAAGCGCTAACAATGTATATGAAATTAACATTTGATTTACTTTGGCTGTAGCTAATCACAAACTGCATATAGAACCACCTGCTAACTGTTGTATATTTGTAAGATGTGGGTTCAAAAGGCGCAGTGAAAAGGCAAAATAATGGACTTTGCGAGCTCCGCCAAAGCAAATTGTCACAAGCCTTCTTACAAACACTAGTAGTCAATAGTCACCCATAAAATTTCATATGTATTCTATCTTCCCTGAGGTTGTGTGTGCGCACGTGAAAGGAAGCCAGTTTCTGTGGGGGAGGTAGAACTTGGCACAACACCCTTTTAAACAGCTGCCTGCAGCGTTCAGCTACATTGCGAAGTATTGTTTATTTTTATAGTTCACTGTAGGTAATACTTTGACCTAAAATGTACGAACAAGTCCGCGCCACCTTAACAAAGACCTGTATGTTGTGTTTGAGTGGGTTGAGAGAAGTTTAGGGCATGTACACTCACTGAGCACTTTATTAGCAACACATGTACAGCAACTCATTCATGCAATTATCTAATCAGCCAAGTGTGTGGTAGCGGTGCAATGCATAAAAGCATGAAGATACAGGCCAGCATGTTCACATCAATCATCAGAATGAGGAAAAAAAAATGATCTCAGTAATTTTGACTCTGACATGACTTCTTGTGCCAGGCAGGCTGGTTTAAGTATTTCTATAGCTGCTGATCTCCTCTTCACAACATGAAAGCGCACCTGAAAAATCTGCAGGGATTGCATGATGGAATCATGTCAAGATGAACCAGAATCTCAAAAGAATGTTTCCAACATCTTGTGGAATCCGTGACATGAAAAACTGAGGCGGCTTTGAGAGCAAAAGGTGGCCCTACACAGTATTAGTAGAGTGTGCCTAATAAAGTGCTCTATGAATGTATGTGTGCATAGATTTGGGTGACTACTGACTTTGTGAATTTAGCAAGAGCAGCCTCGTAGCTCCGGTGCTAGACTAAAGAGCAGAAATTGTGTAAATTTGATTTTTTGCTGATCCATTCCTTTAGGCATATTTCAACATTCTAAAAGACTCGGTTAAAGTTCTGAGCAAATTATGCTGGAAAAACTGGAAAACGGTCGACAGATTGGAAGAAGTCAATTTATATCCTAATCCCACGGTCAGTACAGAAAAACAAACAGACTGGTACCACAGTGGCAAAAGAGTAGGACAGGGCTGCATATTATTATCATACCTGTTCAACCCCCATGCAGAACATAAAATGAGAGAAGCGGCACTGGAGGAAAATGATCAAGGATTCAGGATTTGTGGATGAAAAAAAAAGTGGAAAATCTGGAAGACCGGAAGGACCTCATGAGGAAAATTAAAGAACAGTATCAAAAGATGGGACTCCAGCTCAATAAGAAGACAACTACGGTTGTGATGACAGGAAAGACTAACTTGGCTAATTTGGCCAATGATGGAAAAGATGTGGAAATGGTGGACGGCTTTTGCCTACTCAGATCAATTATTAACAACAGAGGACCCAGCAGTCAAGAAATAAAACAGAAATTGGCACTAGGTAGAACAAGGATAAAGGAGCTGAAAAGATCTTCAAATGAATTTGTCCAGAAAAGATCAGAATTGTCCAGACCATGGTCTTCTCTGTAGTTCTTTAGGGATGTTAAAGGTGGACAATAAACAAGCAAAACAGGAAAATATTGATGCTTTTGAACGTTGTACACTGGACAGCAAAGAAAAAGTAATAGATCTTCAAACAAGTCAAGCCTCAACTCTTGCTCGAAACCCAGATAACCAAACTGAAGATATCTTACTTTGAGCATATTCTGAGAAGAACTTCTTATTTCTTGCTTTCAGCTTTAATACACCACCTCTTTCCTTTACTCTCTTCACCTCTTGCAAAGTTTGTCACTTCTCGCTGAGATTTTATATCCTATCATACAATTTGCCTACAGCTTTTTAGTTTAAACTTAACGAAGTGAATAGCTGATCACATTACCACAGTGCATCTGCAAAGCCTCCTGAATTTTTAATGTCCTTTACCTTGAATATACTGCCTCTTTGTGATCTGCACTGGCTGCTTGGGAAGAGCCTGAAAATTCTGAAAAGAGACAGGGAAAGATATTTATTCATTTATTCTTCCTGATTGAGACACATTGAGTGACCCAGCTCTGTTCAGCATTTCTCACACTTGGACAGTAGAAACACTCTAAGAAGGTTTCCAATATAGCACTAGTTTAGCAATCTAGGGAACTCAACAAAGCATTTAAATAACAAACACACAGCACACACAGGGGGCTAAAATGACTGGAGCGTGAATGAATAAAGGAATAATGTGGCTGCTGAGTGATTCTGAGAAAAAGTTCAAAGTACACCACGTGAGGAATATTTCATAGCATGTTTTTCTCCTTTGTGACAGCTCTGTACTGACTGATTTCCAGAGAGTGGATGGTTAAGCTTGTCTATAAAAAGGCTAAAATAAGCCACTTACACCTGCAGGTAGACGTGCGCCAGTCCAGCTCCCTGAAGCTGGACAACTGTGAGAAATCTGTGCCTAAACAAGAGCCTGTGTGTGTGAGAAAGAGTGTGTGTACGAGTGTGTGAGCCTGTAGGAAGGTCACCTCTGTAGCCCTCCTACTGCTTCATAATAGCCTCAAACCAACATGCTTAGAGAAATGTGATAGAAACAGACAGACAGACAGACAGACACACACACACTCTCTACTCATGCTGTGTATCAGCCCCTTAATAAGCAATGTATAAAGCTACATGTATGTAATACATTAAACGCAATAAGCTGTATTTCCTAATTAAAAATGTAATAAGCTATACGTTACATTCACTTATTGAACAATGCGATAAGCTGTAAGTTGCATTCACTCGTCAAACAATGTAATAAACTGTATTCACTTATTAAACAATATAAGCTATAAGCTGCATTCACTTATTCAACAAGGTGATAAGCTGCATTCACCTAAACAATGAAAAAAGCTGCATTCTCTTATAAAACAAGGTAACAGTCTGCATTCCTTTACTAAACAATACCATGTTCACTTATTTAACAACGTCATAAACTACATTCGCTTATTAAACAAGGCATTAAATGGCATTTAGTTATTAAACTGCACTCAAGGCAAGGAACATTCAGATACATTAGCTTTAAGCATCAGTGAACAGCAATGCAGCAGATGTGTAGCCACACAGAAGACTTGCCAGCCTCTTTGAGAAGCTTTACTAACAGTTGTTTTGGAACAGTTTCAAAACAAAGACGAGGATAACCAAAATAGCACAATTTGCGACGACAGAGCAAAACGGTTGTGCCACTTGGGAGCCCAACATGAGGAACCAGTTTCAACTACATGACTATAACATAGACTGGCAAATCTAAACACACAATATCAACATGGTTAAAATAATAGAAACATTTAAAAGGTTTTCCAAACATTAAACGTCAAAACCTTCAACATGAAAGCAACATTTTATAACACATAAAATCCCAAAACAACCGGACAAAATTCAATAGAAAAAACTGATGTAAAATATGAACAATAAGAGGTCAATGAAATAGACCAAAAACCAAACAGAACTCTGGGTAGTTCCAACCCCAGTTTTGCAATATTTATATTATTTAAGACTGTTTCTGCTGTTTATTGGAGTTTAAGAAATCTGGTGTTTGAGAACTGAGTTACATTTAACAATTCACAGGTGGCACCTGAACATATCTGTCAGCTGAACAACACTATATAAACCGAGTTATATTTTATATAATAAAAATGCTCTCTTGCACGTGTTAGTAACAGTACTAATGTGCAATGTAATGTGGATGACAAGCTGAAGGCTGAAACCACCCCCAGGTGGGGGAATACATTGACACTGAGTGCAGTTACGAATGTGCCAGAGAAAGTGTGCAGCGTTTGGCTGTTCTCAGGTCAGTGTGAGTGGAGGCTGTGCTGTCAGAGCGTGACAAATGCCACCAGCGCCTGAGAGAGGAGGCACTGCTAATAGCTGCAGCAGCAGCTTTCTGCTTCTGTATGAGTATCTGCATCGATCTACAGCAATACAACACCACCTCTCAGACAGAGAGAGGACAGTAAGAAGAGAGAGCTGATGGTGTGTCGTGTATGTGTGTAAGGATCCAGAATTGATTAGAGCTGGATCAGGCTGGATTCAGTGCTTTGCTCTGCTCTCTTTCTGATCCAGCTTGATACAAACAGGTCAGCACTGCATACACTATTCTCACAATCTCACAAATACACACTGTCACATTCTCTCTCTCTCACACACACACACAAACGTTTCAGCTGTATGCTTTACACATGCTAACAGGCCTGGATGATATTTAAAAATAATTAGCACAATACTGTCTCATTATCATAATTTTAAATTGATTAAATTTACTCTACCTTAGCCTAACAGCTTTTAAAAGCCTAATGTTTTAACTGTGAATACAAGTGAATACACCATTATGTGTACATATTATTTAATATTTATTACTTATTTCTGATACTGTCTCTCGGCTGTAGATGAGAGTCAGAAGAACTTTATCTACTTCTAAAAGTTTCAGGTCTAAAGCTAGCTGCTCTACGGTAATAGCCACCCAATGCTTAGTTGTTTTCTTGCAGCAAGTCACACTGAAGCAGGCTGAACTTCCAAAGCATACCAGCATTTATTTCTGGTTCCATACACTCAAGCTAAACTTAACTTAAAATAAGAAGAAGGGAACAGCCAAGCAGCAGGTAAAGCTAGTATTACAATCTCTTTCAAGAAGAAAAAGCTGACTATTGGGGCACATGTCCACAAACTTCTTAAGGGAATGTAAACTACAGTTTTCCTACATATTTTACTGGTCCTTTCTAGTTTCCTTTCTCTCAGTTCTTTTTCCTAACACAGCGATTATCGCTTTTTATGCATCACCACTGGGTTACTCATCAGTTATTTACAATATCCGATTACATCGCCATATCACCCAGACGTACATGCCAAGTCTGCCCACTTCAGCTAATTAGTATACACAATTTGATTCACTTAAAGGCAAAATATAACATCAACATAATGACAGCCTGTATAAAAGAAGAAAGAAATGATCAGAAATAAGAGAACTTGTTTATGATGTTGTATTACTAAGAAAGTACATAACTTCTGATACATCATGGAACAAACACACAGCAACACCTGCAGTAGTTTTCAGTAGTTGGTGTTAATGGACTTCCTCTTACACAGACCAGATGATCTCTCTCTCGCTCACACACACACACACACACACACACACACACACACACACGGTGACACTTATACACATAAGCTCTGAAGGTCAGATCATGCTTGGAGGAAACATGCTGTCTTTCCCTCAAACTATTCTCACTTTCTCCACACAGTGAGAGGATACTTTGTGTGGATTTGGCATTTTTCTCTGTTGCTGCAATTAAGAGCACAGACAGGAGTCCATTCACAATACAACTGTTTAATAATTCAGCACAGAGAGGACAGAGTGAGAGAGAAAAAAAGAGAGAGAGAGAGAGAGAGGGTGTCATTCCAGTCAGTATGAAGATGGTGTGAAAAGTTTTGACAGTGTGTGGATGAGTGTGTATGAACTTGTGTGTGCACCCTGTATGATATTACTTGAGCGTGTAACCTGTGTGTGGGGATGTGCAGGGGCGTCACAGTTAAGCCTCTCTGAAATGACAGAGCAACACACACACACAGAGAGTCAGTGAAGGAATCTTGCCAGGGTGACAGAAGGATGGTCTTTAGCCTGCAGGCCTCTCCTCCTCAGCATATGCTGCACTAGAGACACTATCAGTGTACACACGCACACACGCACATAAGTGCATCTATATAGACCAAAAAAGTCGGCTGCCCAAAATAGGTCCGTGAGGACATTTCAATTGGGTGACAGAAAGTTAGCCTAAACCAGGGGTGCCCAGACTTTTTGTCGCGGGGGAGTCAAAGTTCAACGTTTGCAGTGGGCCAAAATCACCAAACAGAGAAAAAAGTATACAAATAAAGCTCAAATTCAGTTTTTTCTTTAATATATTTTTCAATATATTTTGTTACTAAAATGCAACTTTTAAAGTAAAATAAGAAATAAGGTGGATTACAGAAACGTTCTGGTGGACAAAATCCAACTTTGGCCAGCCCTGCCCTAAATGCTCTCCCTCACTCGATGAACCCAATATATATTTACACTTGCATAAAATTTTATATCTATTACATTCTTCTTATTTTTTAAATTGCAAGTGTACACAGTGTAAATGTTATAAAATTCACTTATTAAAAACTTGGAACCCTACCTACCTTTCTAATTTGTATGCTCCTCCACAAACACTGCATTTTGGCCCCCATATTTAACACTTGAGCCCTAACACAACATTGTTGCAATACTTAAGGATGCACTCTAGTCACAAATGCTTGAATGATGCATAACATAACTTGAATTTTCAACACACAGCCGTGTCCTATGTACGGCACTGCATGACGTGACGAGTAATATTTAATATTCATAACTCATGAAGTGGCCGGTGCCCTAAAACCTGGAAAACTACTCACAACAGGAAGAGATGTAAATAGCAACAGTCACAGCGGTGATTTTTCCCCATTTCACTCTCCTACTTTGGAACAGCAGGAGAGAACTTAATTCAGCATGCAGGAGTCTCTGCTGTACGTGTTTGGGCCAGTGGAGTGCTAAGTTTAGGAGAAAGAAAACTACAACTGGGATGGCATAGATGCTACAGAGTATAAAATAAAGCATGAGCTATGTCAGACATTTTATGAACTGTTTCGTTTTGTTAATACTGAGAACCATTGAATTGAAATCCTGTTTCTGATTAGTATTAGTGAAGCAGCCTGTTAGCCTCTCAGCTGACCTTATCCTTTGCTAGTGAGGGTAGAACACAGTTGAGTTACAGATAATACAGTAAGTACCCTTTATATAGACTATAGACTATGTAGTATATATAAAGTATAATTCGCTTAAAGAGAACCTGGAAACCACAACCAATAATGTTCAACTGTCAGTTTTTCCATCTGTTTGCTTTTCATAAACATGGATTTCAGCAATTAGATGCCTTTTCAACCTGTGAAATGCGGTGGTCCTGGAAGAGT